CTGTGTCTGGGTGCCTGCGTCTCTGCCTGGGCCGCTGCCAGCTGAGCTGTCCCCGAGCCACCTGACCGTGGACAAGGAGTAGCCATCACAGGCTGTGCTCTCTGGCACTCTGAGTGGGGTGTGGGGGGGGGCTAGGAGGGCAGACAGGGCCCCTATCCTTGGGTCCCACCCTGGGTATTTGCACCCCATGCCATCAGTGACCTCCGAGCAGTGCCTTAGTCTGTAACTTGGGACCATTCTTTCCCCACCCTGTTCCCTGAGACACCACACACAGGACCTGTGGCCTCACGTTCACCCCCAGAGAGGTGCCTCCCAGCCTTGGGCCCCGTGTGCTTGACAGGGGCGGGAGACCCCAGGCTCCACTTGGGCACATCGTCCAATCACACCAGCATCCAAGCTGGTACATACGTACATCTCCATATGGTATAGTGATGTGGTGAAGGCTCCACTTTGTGGAATTACTGGACTCACAGTGTTGAGGGAGAACCCTCCTTCCAGGCCGTGCCCACCCTCTGTAAAACTCCGCGTCCTTGGGAGGCGTGGAGAAGCCTGCTCTCCCCTCACCTCTCAGCCCCACGCAGCCCTCCGGGAAGCAGTGGGAAGAGGCTTGGCCTGCAGCCAGGCGTTTGCAGCTGAGCCCCAGCTGTCTGCAGGCACCGAGAGCTGCGGGTTTCAGACCACTCCACTTCCTTCCTCCTGCCGTGTTTGTTGTGCAAACACTGTCAGCGCCCTGGGCCCAGGTCCTCACCCTGGGACACAGCAGGGGTCCTCACCCCGGGAGGCAGAGTGTAGGGCTGGGTTGAGAACCACAGCCTAACAGGTTTTCTGGGCTGCTGGCCTCCCCCGCTCCCATCACCCAGCCCCCACAGCTGTCCTCCTAGGGGCTTCAGGCATGTCTTCCGTAATTGTCCAGATGGCATGGGGCAGCGAGGGGCCTGTGGGCTCCAAATGCCCCCTTCCCTGGAGCCCTGAAGCCCAGGTCCTTCTCAACTCAAGTTCCAGTTGGGCTGCTGCAGGAAGGGGAGAGGTGAGACCCGTGTGAGTGGCAAGCCAGGAGGCCCCTGGGAGCCCCACGTGGTCATGCCAGGTGCCCATGGGAGCCCCACGTGGTCATACCAGGTGCCCGTGGGGGGGTGGAGAGCCCTGTCCTGCTGAGGTGCTGCCCTCGGGGGTGCTGCCCCAGCCTCAGGGCCTCAGCGTTGGCTCCCATTTCTGTGGCTTGGCAGACAGATTCCAAAAGCTGGACCAAGTGTTGTTGCTTCCTGTGTTACAGCGGCCACTTCGCTGGTTTCGCTCGGTCAGGCCGGTGTCATAGCTGAGATGGGCGCTTTCAGAGGTGGGGGCTCCTGAGGGTTGGAAATTGTATTAAACTCCGGGTGTTGGCCTGTCTTGGAGGTTGGCTGGTTTGTGTCCTTAAACGGAATTAATCCTGTCACATGGCTGCCTTGCCCCACCCAGCCCATGACCCATAAAACGAAGGCTGTCGGTTTTAGTTCATTTAGCACTGCTGTCTTCAGGGACAGTGGGGACAGGTGGGGCTGATGGGGGCCCTGGGTGGAGGACAGACAGGGCCAGTGGGGGCCATGAGGGCAGCCTTTTCCTGGGCAGAGAGCTGGCCTCGTTGCTAGGGTCACCCAGAGTGTACCTGAGGAAGCCGTCTGACAGGGCGCTGCAGTGTGGGGAGACCTGACAGGGCGCTGAAGTGTGGGGAGACCTCCTGACAGGGCGCTGCAGTGTGGGGAGACCTCCTGACAGGGCGCTGCAGTGTGGGGGGACCTCCTGACAGGGCGCTGCAGTGTGGGGGGACCTCCTGACAGGGCGCTGCAGTGTGGGGGGACCTCCTGACAGGGCACTGCAGTGTGGGGAGACCTGACAGGGCGCTGCAGTGTGGGGGGACCTCCTGACAGGGGCTCCAGTCTGGGGAGGCCACCTTGGGGAACCCCAGGCTGCAGGCACTACCTGGTCAGCTGAGCTATCTGTGCAGTGGGGCCTTTGGGCAAGTCCCAGGCAGAGCTAAACCAGAATGTGGTGGGGTGCTGCACCAGGGGCTGGGGCGGTTAGGCGGGCAGGTGCCGGGGACTGCCCTGGGCCCTCACCGCCTCCCGTGAGCTGTAAACAACTTCCTGTAGGGATATAACCCACACACACAAGCACACTCTCACCTCAGCACGGCAGCCTGAGTGGGGAATCCCCTGCTGGGTTCTCACGGGGCGTGGCCAGATGTCAGCCAGGCCACAGTCTTTCTGGAATTTGAGTGTTCCTGGCTCTTGGTAAAACTCACCTGTGGTGGTTGTGGACTTTGGTCCCTGACCCTGCTGGCTGTCACCTGTTGAGCACACTGGCGGCTCCCGCAAAGCGGCGTGCACTCATTAGGCCAGCAAGGGTCTTCCACCTGCAGACCCCCAGCTCAGCCTTCCCCTCATCATGAAATGAGCTGATGAAGGCGCCCCATCAGGAGCCTCACCACATGTCCTCCAGGAGGGGAGAATCTTGGGAACTCCCCCAGAATCAGGGCACCCGCGCTTTCTCACATTCTGCTGCACCCCACCCTTCCCCTGGCCTTTCTCCTCTTTGCCCAGCCTGCTGCACTCCTCCTCAGCCATGCTGGTGGGCTCGGGCAGCTGCAGGAAGTCTGCCCAGTCTCTGGCCTGGCTCAGACACCGCAGCAGGCACCCACCCCGCCTCTTGCGCCCCTGGCAGGGCGGGGAGACAGCTTTGCTCTGTGAATTAGTCATCGTAGTAGGGCGAGCCTGAAGGGAGGGAGTGAGACCATGTGTCAGTCTGCTGAGCCTCCCTCCCCACCCAGCTTTGGAATCTTCTAGAGACCTGAGAGGCTCCTTGCACCGCGTGGTGCGTCTGGGAAATGGCAAGGAGGTGGCGGAGTGCTGGTTTGACGGACATGGGGCCAGGCTGTTTTGTGGCCATCAGCAGGCCAGCCTCGGAAACAGAAGCAAGGAGGAAGCTGAATACAGCGTAAGCATGGGAAGCGGCTGAGATCCTCCACTGGGGTGCACCCCCCCCCGTGTGCTCAGGCCCCGTCCCCACACTCGGGCCCCATCTGGGGAACCATGGGTAGAGAGGCAGGCGTATGCCCCACAACCTTGGGTGGACTGGAGGGGTCTGTTGGCAGAAGGATGGACCCTGTACCGTCTGCTTCCCTGAACAGTGACTGAGTGAGCAGCATTGGGGGATGCGTGGGCAGAGGCCTGGCCTGGTATCAAGGAGATCACGGGGTCCCCAGGGCGCATAGTAACTCCCCGAGGGTGGGGGCACGGCCTGCAGCCAACTGATGACCTTCTGCTGGAGATGTTCTCCTCAGTGCCCAGGAGGAAGCTGAGGGCAGTAGGGTGGGGTGAGAAGTGACTGGAAGGGAAGTCTAGAAACTGGGGTCAGAGGCTGGAGTCTGGCAACCTTTGCTTCCTGTTCTGTAACTGAGAGGCGAGGGCCTGTGCCATGGCCAGCAGCATGTCCAGGATTCATATCCAGGGTCCAGTTCTGGTCCCACCCATGCCTCTGCAGGGCCAGCTGAGCAGGGGCCCACAGCATGTCCAGGGTCCAGGTCCGGCCCCACCCGTGCCTCTGCAGGGCCAGCTGAGTAGGGGAACAGCCCAGCCCTTCTAGGACATGTGAATGTGGGCACAGTGTATAAGCCGTATGGGCATAGAGCCTACCTAACAGGGCTGTTGGAAGGGGTGCATAGCATCTCATGGAAAAGGGGATTAAAGGTGATTGTGCTGGTGCAGAAAGTTCTGATGTTGCACAGTGCGAGAGAGATCGCGCTGGACCCAGGGTAGGATGTGAGGAGGAGTCTTCACGTCCCAAGCTTGGAGACAGCAGCTCCGCGACACTCAGGAGCCACTGCGCCAGCCGCCAACGTCGGGGGTGTTTAAGCTCTCACCCTCCAATCAGACTGAGAGCCATACAGGGCAAACAGAGCTGCAGGAGCCCAAAGTTTCCCTGCAGTTTTTATTAATGCAGCATAGCACAGTAGGACTCAGCTATCTCCAGCCATTTCCACACTGTCCATTAACTTGAATAGCAAGGGAGACAGGAGGGGCGGGCACACTTGAGGAGCCTCCAGAGCTGGCACTGCACATTTGATTAGCTTGAATAGTGAGAGAAGAGGTAGGAAGGGTGCACTGCCAGTTAACCTGGCAAGCTGGTGCCACCTCATCATGGTGACATCCCTGCACACCAGAGGTCTTCAAAAAGTTTGTGAAGAACAGGCCTGGCACAGTAGCCTAGCGGCTAAATCCTTGCCCTGCATCCACCAGGATCCCATGTGGGCACCAGGTTGTATCCCAGTTGCCATTTCTCACCCAGCTCCCAGTTTGTGGCCTGGGAGAGCAGTGGCGGACGGCCCAAAGCCTTGGGACCTGCACCCACGCGGGAGACCCGAAGAGGCTCCCGCTGCAGATCGGCTCAGCTCCCGCTGTTGCGCTCACTTAGGGAGTGAGTCAGTGGACAGAAGATCCTCCTCTCAATCCTTCTCTCTGTATATCTGTCTTTCCAATAAATAAATTTTCAAAAAGTCTTTTTAAACTTTCTTGGAAATGAATTTTTGGAAAAGCACTGCACATCTTTCAAGTGTTTCTTCTGGCAAAATAAGCGTCTCTTTCAGCAGCGTTTTCCCGTGGACTCTGGGGCGCCTCTATACCAGAACGCCGTTTCTCCTGTGACTGTTAGAAAGGCAGAGTGGCGAGGGCGGGCGTCTTCCACCCACTGCTTCACTCCCCCAACAGCCGGGTCTGGGAGGCCGAAGCCAGGAGCCTAGAGGCCCGTCTGGACTCCCATGTGGGTAGGGAACTGGCTCTGCCGTGGGGACCTGGCAAATGGCGGCTTAGCCCGCATGCTGCACCCGGCCGCCCCTCCTGCGACCGTCCCAACACGTACAGGTGTGATTTGTGTGCTGCTGCAGGGGGTTTCTCCCAGCACCATCAGTCATGATTCGGGAAGCTGCTGAGCAGCCTGTGCTCATGCCACCTCTGCATCTTTTCCAGGCGGAGGCCAGGCTGGCCGCGAAGCGAGCAGCCCGAGCGGAGGCCCGCGAGATCCGCATGAAGGAGCTGGAGCGGCAGCAGAAGGAGGTAACGGGAACTGGGGAAGGGGGTCTTTGCGCAGCTCTTCCGACTCCTGGCACAGGCTGCAGGCACAGAGGACCTGTCACTGTGGACGCACCTGTCCCGTTAATGTCGCACCTGTGGCTGTGGGTTAGGGTCCTGCAGCGAGCGCACATGCCTGGGCAGTGGGCCCGGCCCACGTAACCCTAAGTGCAGCGCGTAGGCCGGTGGCCTGCGTGGATCCGCCCAGCCCAGCTTCCCCCTGGTGCCACGGTGCCGGATCTGACTGTTGAACTGTGAACCAAAACAGGGAAGATGAATGGGTTAACAGCTTTCAGACTCGGCTTCATTTACAAGTACTTCCCCAGTGGTCTCCACAGCACTGAGCAGGTGTCAGGCCACCTGGCGCCCAGATGTGGCAGAGCACAGGACAAGCGTCGTGGGTGAGAAAGTGGGAGGTGATTTGTTTGCACACCTGTGCGTGCGCTTGGCTGCTGACGTTCCACCTTGAGCAGAAGGCAGACGCCACCCTGACCGGAGAGCTCCTTGCCCACGGTTGGGGTGGTGGACACTCTGGTAGGGCAGTGCTCTGCTGCCAAGGGGTCCCCTGCCCAGGGGTCTGGAGTCAGGAGAAGCCCCCGGAGAGAGGAGCAGACCTCTGCCCCACACCAGGGGGCTTCATGCCGCTCACAGGAAAATGGAACATTCAGGCCAGTTTATGTCGGTGCCAGGAAATGAAACCCACACAGCTTCTCATGCTACACTTCTCCGCAATCCCCCCAAGACCCTTGGCACCCCGCCGCCTGCCCCCTGCCCTGAGCCCCGCCACCCCTGCCCTGAGCCCTGCAGGCTCCCACTCCGCCACACACAGCAGCTGCCCGTTCACTCCAGACTGGCCAGTAAGTGTTTGTGTTATAAGATGACCGCGCCCAGTCACTGCTTCGGGCTGTTGATCCACTGTAGACACTGCAGCCCATGCAGCAGACACTAAGAGCCCACAGCATGTCGGTCACGACTGGTCTCTGCACTCGCGTGGCTGGCACACCCCAGGGGTGCCGAGTGGGCTGCTCAGTGGGCAGCGGCCACCCTGTTCTGGCTGGCATCAGAACACTGCTGGTTAGGCGGTACCAGCTTGTGCCAGTGGCTGTGGGCAGCCCACTCCCCAGGGCTCGGCGGGAGCTGCCCATGTGGGCATGTCCAGCAGCACCCCTGCCTGGAGCCATCACCCCTGCCTGGAGCGCCTCCCTTGCTTCTTCAGCAGCCCTCCAGTCTGTGAGGGGGCAGCCCACGGGGGCTGTGAGGGAGCGTTCTGTGGCGCTGCTGAGCTTTGCCACACTGATGGGACTCGAGTGGCCTGGTGGCCCGTGGCTCTGCCATGAGGGCTGCTACGGGGCATCAGGCACGGGAGGCAGTGGAGCTGCACACGGAGCCCACTGCCCCAGCTTTAGCAGCGGTGTTTGCAACAGTGCCCCGTCTCAGGGCAAAGAGAGGTAACTTCCACCAGAGCACAGATGCCCGGTCCTGCAGGGTTGTGCCGGGCGTCTCGCATGTGCAAAAAGTGTTCCAAATCACGCTTTTGGTGAATCTCATACCCTACTCAGTTAATGGCAGAATTCATGAAATATATCCATGGGAACACAGAGTTCCTGGGCCAATGTTTTTGTTTTGGACCATAAAAACTCAGAGGAGTTCAGCCAAGAAATGGTCAGAGCTGACCAGGCCTTCTCCGCCTGGTGTCCAGGGAAACCCGGCTTTGCATTTGGATTGGTCAGCGTGAGAAAAGCGAGCGTCTGAACTCAGGCATGTCAGCCATTGAAAAGCACCCTTACTACCAAAGATGGGAAAGGGCCTGGGCCACTTCACTCTGACAGCTTGCAAGTGAGCGTTAGCTGTGGGTGGGAGCGAGGCCCGGGGACCTGGCTGGCTCTCCAGGCTCCTCCCAGCAGCCACAGGAGGCCCAGGGATGCCCCACCACCACTGCACACACAGCAGACACCCAGGGTGCGAGCAGCAGGGGCTTGTGCAGCCTGACCCGGGGAGTTCCAGGCCTGCTGTTGCCCAGCACAGCCTCACAGAGGTTACCCGGCAAGTCCAGGGAGAGCCACAGACACCGCAGCTGGCCTCCCCAGGCCACACCCGCCAGTCCAGCTGCCTGCTGGAAGGCATTCAAACTAAAATCCTGGGACCAGAAGCCGGGGGGATGGCGATTTCTGGGGATCCGGTGCTGTCTCGGCCCACGGGAGTGTTGTTTCTGCATGTGGGGTGAGGACCTGGAGGAGCAGGTGTAGAAGTTGAGTGTGGCACTTGCCCTCTGTGGACCCCTGCCACCTGCGCACCTGGCACGGCCTCTCTCTCAGCTGTGATGTCACAGCAGGACCTGTGCTGGTCCAGGCTCCCCTGCCCTGCTTTGCCTCAGCTGGACACGTGGCAGGAGGTGCTGGGGCAGGGGCTGAGAGAGAACAGCGGCTCCTGGGGCTGAGGGCTGAGAGGCGGGCAGGAAGCTATCCTGGGAGATGGGAGGCAGCTGGAGACGGCAGACTCCCCAGCTCTGTTGCTGCCGTCCTCCGGGTCTGCAGACAGGCACCGCAGCTCTGCTGGGAGCTGGGAGGGTTCAGATGACCTAAAGATGACATTCTGGCAGTGAGGGAAGGTGGCCAGAGAGCTCCCTGCCTGCAGGGCCACTGAGTCTTACAGGCAGGAGGCACAGCCCTTCAGTGAATCCGTGCTCCCAGATCCAGAAAGGTGACTGCTGGTGGGTCACACTGGGACCTTCCAGCACCCTGACCTGGGAGCAGTACACACCACGGGGTGGTGTCAGTACCCTGACCTGGGAGCCGTGCACACAATGGGGTGGTGTCAGCACCCTGACCTGGGAGCAGTACACACCACGGGGTGGTGTCAGTACCCTGACCTGGGAGCAGTGCGCACCGCGGGGTGGTGTCAGCACCCTGACCTGGGAGCAGTGCGCACCGCGGGGTGGTGTCAGCACCCTGACCTGGGAGCAGTGCACACCACAGCGATGTCAGCACCCTGACCTGGGAGCAGTGCGCACCGTGGGGTGGTGTCAGCACCCTGACCACAGGGTTGCAGTTAGGTGAGCGCTGCCAGTGGGGGCAGGTGAGACATGTGATCCAATCCGGGCAGTAACTTGAAAAGCAGGTTTGTCTGAACGCTGGGACCGCAGCACGGATGCCGACACAAAGCACACATTTCTCAGCAAGGGTTTTGCTCTCAATCCATCTGGCTGCCAGGAAGGCGGGGCATGGGGCCATGAGCAGGGTGTGGGTGGGCCCTCCTGGACACCCTTGTGGAGGCCATGACCTTGGACCTGCACTGAGGGATCGGCAGGTGCACTGAGCTCGCCTCTTGACTCCTGCTCGCCTATCAGGTCTCTGGGCCTGGCTATTTTTAGAAGCAGCTAACACAATTTGAGGTTATACAATCTGAGGTCCCTGGGGCGCTGGCATTTTAAACTGTTGATTCAGAGGAAATGAATATGCTGCACACGGCCCGTGCTGGACCTGGAGGACTGGTGCCCTGGGGTCCGAGCGGGGCCGCAGGACCCATCCTGCCCTCTGGGGTGGGAGCCCACCCACCTGCACACAGGTGTGGCCGAGCAAGCCAGAGGCTCCTGGAGAAGGGGCAGGGGTTGTTCTGCGAGCACCTTCAGGAGCTGAAGAGGGGGGAAGCTGGTGACAGGGTGGGGATCCCTGAGGGCTGTGTGTAGGGGAGAGGTGCTGAGAGGCACCTCGGGGTGCTTAGCTGTTAGCAGGTTTGGGGAGGGTGCTGACCATGACCCCGACCCAGCCGCAGCCCATTGCCCTGGTCCAACCCCCAGCGTTTCTGCCGAGTTGGTGAGCGTGCTGGCTAGAGACGCCGTGCTCACTGTCGTGAGCCTGACTGTGGCCTTTGTCGTTGGCTGTCCGCACATGATGAGGACAGCGCAGGTGTCCACCAGCAGGACAGAGGGCCACACTCGGCAGGCAGGTGGACAGGCCGGGTCTCCTCACCTGGGCCTGCCCGTGAGTTCCTGACGGCTCACTCACTTCTTCAACATCGCTTGGACATGCTCGCTCCTGTTTCGCCACTGTTCGCTGTTGACCTGCGCAGCAGCTTTTATCTCAGTCCTGGTTGCCTGCAGGCCTTGGTTCTGGGCTGCGTGGGTGTGTTAGTCTGATATGAACACAAAGAGAACGGATCCGCTGTGGCTCATGGGTGCAGTTCTAGAACGTGACGACACCCTCCTCGGCCTTCCTTCTTGATGTCCCTGCTGCTCTAATGACTTGTCTCTCTTTTTCTCGGTCCGCCTGGGTAGATCTATCAGGTGCAGAAGGTAGGCTCTTGTCGGCTGGCGCTCTCGCATGCGCTCCTGCTCCCTTGGGAAGGGCCGGTGCACTGCGGACGCGTGGGCGCACTTGCTGGGGAGCTGCAGGAATGGGTCCCGATCGGCATGCATGCTCACAGGTCCCCACGACCTCCCACTCCTCTTTGCACTGTCCTCCAAAAGGAAAAATGATTTCTTTAAGAAAAAAAATTCCAGTAAAAGTCCCACTTCATTCCCTAAATGGCTACATCAGCCAGATTGGGCTAGCCAGAAGCCCATGAGCCTGAACTCCATCCTGGTTACCCACGTGGCTGTGGGGCCCCAGTGCCTTCATCTGCTGCCTTCCCAGGACACAGCAGGGAGCTGCACCTGCCCTTGCCTTCCCAGGACACAGCGGGGAGCTGCACCTGCCCTTGCCTTCCCAGGACACAGCGGGGAGCTGCGCCTGCCCTGCAGTGTGCAGTGCCATGCAGGCTTTCCTGGCCACACTACCACGTCACCTGCCACTGGTGATGAGGACACACCGTGAGAGGATGTTGTCCAGTGTGGACTGGACACAGTGGGCAGTACGGGAGTGTCTTCCCCACGCAGGGCAGAGGTGCAGTGGGCAGTGACAGCACATCCAGGGCAGCTTTGCCTCCCCAGCTGTGGTTTATGAGGTGGAAAGGGAGGCAGGAAATGGCCCCAGCCCCTCGGCCGCCCATCATGATGGCTTCTCCGAACTCAACGCTGTTTCTGCAGGCCGCCGTCTCCCGCCGGGGTGTGGTGCTGCTCCCCCTGCATGGCTCACGGGCTAATTACACTGTTGACACTGGACGTGCCCAGCACCGCTGCTGCTAACACAGGGCCTGCTCGCTAATCGCACGTGTGTTTGCCGAGGGATGCGAGATGCCAGGCCTGTGGACGCCTTCGTCAGACCACCCCGTGCCCTGGGTGAAAGCCCTCGAAGCCCGGTTCCCGTCAGGTCAGGCAGAGAGCAGAGGACGCCGTGCAGGGTTCGAGTCGGGCCCAAGGGGCATGCAAAAGAAGAGAAGCAAACAACCGGGGTGCTACAGAGTTCTTTCAGAAGCGCTGAATTTCCAGTTAGCACAGGTTCCACTCCTTTTTCTAAAATAAGGATATTGTTTGCCGTTTAAGCCATAAAATGCCAGAGGGTAAAGCTGGAAGTGGACGGTAAGGGCAGAAGCAGGCTCTGAGCCCAGGCTGCCCAGCGCAGGAACGGGACACTGCCTGTGCTACTTACAGTGCAATAAGCAACGTGAGAACCTCACGGCGTGGGTCCCTTCAGTGCTAAGTCCTCCCTGCTCTTCCGGTTCCCCACTTCCTGCCGGCAGGGTGAAGTTAGAGCCATCTCGGCAGCAGGCGCACGGTTGGGTCCTGGGACGCTTTCTCGTTCTTCTGGCTTCCAGGTTGCCTTGCTTTCCCCTTCTGATGATAAGAGTTCAGTGTGTAAAGAGAAAAGCCCGTGTCGGTTCTGTGATATTGGAAAAGGAGGGCTGGTCCCTGCCCACCGCCGGGCTGCGGAACACCCTGTGGGTGCCTGCCCGCTGGTCCCTGCCCACTGCCGCCCCCGCCCCCAGCCTGCCTCTGGCTCCTCTTGGGACTGCTGTGGCCCAGCCGAGCAAGGACGGGCTTCAGGGCTTAGCCCCTGAGCGACCTGGAGGGCTGCATGGTTTTGTCCCATGCAGGATCCATTCTGCCTGCCACCATGCGTAATGGGCTGGGTCGACCTGTGGAGGAGGTCTGTTCCCAGGTCCCCCTGGTGTCCAGGGCCCGGGGCTGGGGCAGCCTCCCCGTGCACTGAGTCTGCGCATTGCTGACGTCGGGACACAGAAAGGGCTGTCAGCTTTAGCTTTGCCGGCACTTTTGTTCCTGGGCACACTAGCTTTGCAGATGTGTGACAGCTTGATAGCCAAGCTTGCAGCTGGCTCACCCAGCCATGCTGCCCGCTGCCCGGGGAGTGCTCTGTCCTCAGGTGCCTGGACCAGCGGGGGCAGGGCTCACCCCCCCGCAGAGCCCCCTTCCCATAGAAATGCATGTTCCTGCAGTGCCTGTGTGGCCCTCCCTCACTTCCTGCCTAACTGTCTCTTTCTCCCTTCTGTCCGTAGAAGTATTACGGGCTGGATACGAAATGGGGCGACATCGAGCAGTGGATGGTAGGCCCTGATTACCATTTCCAGGCTTAACTGGTTTATAATGCGATTCCTGCACGGTTTAATGAGCGCCATGACTTCTGTGGCACCATAATTTAATATCAGGAGGACTTCCTCCAGAGATGCCTGTGTCTGGCACGTCCCTATGGGGAGCCTGCTTAGAAACAGAGCTGGCCAGGCCTCTGGCCATCCAGCCGCAGAAAACTGCAGCCCCACAGCCTCCCTGTGTTCTCGGGTGAAGACCATCAGGCTCCGGAACTTTCCAGAGCCCTCAGGTTCCACTTGGAACCCAGAAGGTACACCGACTCTGTTGGCTGCCTCAGCAGCCGGGCCCCTTCCAGCCTTCGTCCACCGTTGCTGCTGTGCTCCACCTTTTGGGCTGCTTCCGCTGCTCTTTGATGAGAAAATTCCTTGGCCTTCCTGACTGTGGAAAAGCCTTTCCAGGCTGACAGCAAGCTTGCCCACCTGACCACGCTCCTGATCTTCTAGCCCTTTCTAGGAGGCCCGGCAGTGGCAGGTGCTCCTCCCTGCAGTAGCCTCCTGGGCATCCTTCCAAGATGAGCTGGGGAGCTGTAGGGGACCCCCAAACCTCAGGCACCTGAGCGTGGTGGGTGGTGAGGTACAGCCGTCCTCTGAGGCCCCTGAGACAGCGGGTACCTCCAGACACAGGTGAAAGCCACAGCCTGGGTGTGTACCAGCGGGCCGCATAGCTAGGCACCCACACGTGCCTCGGCAGCTATAAGACGGAGTAGCTGAGCCACAAGCTTGCTGGGCCTTTGGGAGCAGGCACTCCAGCTCCCCCAGCAAGAGAGTAAGGGGGTGGAGGGACAGGTGGGTTGGAATGGGCCATGCCACAGAGGGAGCCAGCACCTGCCCCACAGTGACTTGGGGGCGCCTCTCCAAGGTGCGGCCAAAGCCATGGACCCAAAGCCAGCAGCTCTGGCTGCTGCGTCGCTAGGCCAGCTCGGGGCATCTCCGTGGCTCGTTTCCCAGGTGTGTAATCTCTGCTGTCTCCTCCTTGCCCCGGCAGGAAGACAGTGAGCGCTGCTCTCGCAGAGCGAGGAGGACAGCTTCGGTCAGTACTGCGTGCATCATGTGTCTCTCGGCTGAGACCCCCCCTGCTGCTTGTGCAGTTAACACTCCTCGGAGACTGGGTCACGGGGGGAGCTTTAAAACACTGCGGACAAACTGTGGAATGAAAGCGGAGCTTGCTTGGGCACAAGGAAGTGTGAGATGCCTGCACGGCTTGTCCCTGTGTCTCTCTGTGAACTTTGTGGCCGAGAGAGAGCCTGGACTCAGTTTGTTGAAGATTTTATTGTAATTCCGGTGAAGGGGTGTGTGTGGCATGCAGGGAGGACATTTGGTTTGCCGTGCCGTGCCCATCAATAATTTGCACAGTAACCTTCACGTGTGTGTCCCTGGGGTGTGAATACCTTCACGTGTGTGGCCCTGGGGTGTGAATACCTTCACGTGTGTGGCCCTGGGGTGTGAATACCTTCACGTGTGTGGCCCTGGGGTGTGAATAACACCGTCCTCATGCAGTCCGCTCAGGCGGGTGGGGGCAGGCAGGAGGCCCCACCGCTTGTCCTGCGGGCATAAACTTCACCACTCCTTCCGTCCTTTGCTCTCCGTAGGTTTCCGATGAAGATGAGCACATGTCCGTGGGCAGTCGCGGGAGCCTGTGGGTCAGTAAGCAGCGCCGGGCACGGGGTTGCTCCTCTACCCCTGCCTGCGGGTCCCTCCCGCAGCCCCTCTGCTCTGACGGCCCCTGCCATCAAAGTGCTTGTTTAAGAGCTGACTGGAGGGGCTGGCTCCTGGTGGCCGGCCACGGTGTCCCAGGCATCATGGTGTCACCCTCCTCCCAGAATGGCTCTGGTGGCTTTTCTGTGTTTGTGCTTTGATCCCACGGGTCTCAACATCATGGCTGTGATGGACAGGAGGTGCCAGCACGCTGCGTGCCACAGTAACTGTGGGAGTGGCAGTGAAGGTGGCCACAAAATGAGGTTGTCCACCTGGTGTGGGGCTGCCCCGGGCTGCCTAGGGGATGGGGAGGGACCAGGAGTTGATGCTGAGACCTGTCTGCCCGCAGTAGCCCCTCCTTGCACCAGCTCTGGGGGTATCTGCCCACGGACAGCATGGTGGGTGATGACCATACACGTGCCATTGGCCCTGAGCATTCCCAAGCTGTGCATCTTGTGTTGGAAAGTGTGTGGGGCGTGGTGAGTCTGTCGCCAAGGGCAGGGACGTGCTGGTCTGTAGGGAGCGCAGAGGGCCGGGCTCCTGTCCACTCTGTGACCGTGAAGCCACTTGCCCCTGCGTGGCTTCTTTATCTGCACGAAATGGGCAGTTTGCAGATTTGTGACATAGGTTAGGGCGCCTGCGTCGCCATCTCTCGTCACTAGCTCTGTGACCGGATCACCATGGTGACGTTGCCGGAAACATGGGTCACTAGCTTCCGGCAGCTTCCGCACGACAGCGACACCTCAGGCCTGTTCTGGGACGTGTGGGAGCGGTGGGGGGCGTGTGGGGACAGCGGGGGACGTGTGGGGACGTGTGGGGATGCTGGGGGACGTGTGGGGACGGTGGGGGACGTGTGGGAGCGGTGGGGGGCGTGTGGGGACAGCGGGGGACGTGTGGGGATGCTGGGGGACGTGTGGGGACGGTGGGGGATGGTGGGGGACGTGTGGGGATGGTGGGGGACGTGTGGAGACGGTGGGGACATGTGGGGGTGGGCGGTGGGGGGCATGTGGGAGCGGTGGGGGACGTGTGGGGACGGCCAGGGACGTGTGGGGACCACGTGGGTGACTACAGCAAGAGCACTTCGTGTGCAGAGGGTGAGAGCAGAGAGCAGAGGACCCATGCAGAGCCGGACTCCACATGCGGCCTCATCAGAATCCTCTGAGCTCTCAGCTGGGGTTCCTGGGGAACATTCCCAGAGGGGTTCCTGACCCCAGAGCGCTGGAAGCCTCTGCAGCCCTGGTACTTTACAATGAGGTGTTGGCATGCCGTTCCATTATCAGTCAGCATAATCAGAAGCAAGTGGCCTTGCTTGGCCAGGCAACGTTGAGTGCACTTGAGGAATTCTGTGATAAGAAGGGGCGAGAAGAGCTGGGTTTGCAGAGCGCGTGCTGGGCTCTCCCATCTCTGTTGGAGGAGGCGGGCCTGGAGATGACATGCTCACTTCCTCCTCTCTGTGGAAGCCCAGGGTCCCTGCTGTTGGTGACCGGGCCAGTCTGGCCGCCAGGGGCCAGGGCTGTCTGCTGTCCACGCACTGGCCCGTAGCAGGGGCCAGGGCTGTCTGCTGTCCACGCACTGGCCCGTAGCAGGGGCCGGGGCTGTCTGCCGTCCATGCACTGGCCCGCAGCAGGGGCCGGGGCTGTCTGCCGTCCACGCACTGATCTGTAGCAGGGGCCGGGGCCTTCTACAGTCCATGCACTGACCCATAGCAGGGGCTGGGGCTGTCTGCCGTCCACGCACTGATCTGTAGTAGGGGCCGGGGCCTTCTTCAGTCCATGCACTGACCCATAGCAGGGGCTGGGGCTGTCTGCCGTCCACGCACTGATCTGTAGCAGGGGCCGGGGCCTTCTGCAGTCCATGCATTGGCCTGTAGCAGGAGCCGGGGCTGTCTGCCGTCCATGCACTGGCCCACAGCAGGAGCCGGGGCTGTCTGCCGTCCGTGCACTGGCCCGCAGCAGGGGCCGGGGCTGTCTGCCGTCCACGCACTGACCTGTAGCAGGGGCCGGTGCCGGGGCCTTCTGCAGTCCACGCACTGGCCTGTAGCAGGAACCGGGACTGTCTGCCGTCCACACAGTGGCCCGCAGCAGGGGCCCAGGCTGTCTGCCGTCCACACACTGGCCCGTAATCCTGGCCCTTACTGATTGGTACAGACCAGACTGCCCTGGAGGGACTTGGCATCTCTCAGGTCTCACGCAGCAGCACCATCACTCAGTACTGTTTGTGGTCACCATCCCAGCCTTTATCACCGGCTGCCAACACCCAGGTCTCCTGCCCTCAGCTGGTGAGGATGGGAAGCCCTACCCCAGAGGCGTGGGTGTGCAGGATTCGGGTTTTCGCAGGGTTTTAGGGCTCCTCGCGCAGGAATGGGCACTGAAGCGTCTGTGCCTTTTCCCTGGCACCACTGGAATGATAACTTGGGGAGATCTCACAGCATCAGAGGCCTTGCTCATGCAGGTGGTGGCTGTTGCCAAGGAGTTTAATTTAGTGTCACTGGGTTTGTACTTGAGGCTCACGGAAGGCGTGAAGGCTGTGCTTCTGCAAGATGCCACAGTGTGCTTTTTGCTTGTATGTTTTGCATAGCTCTCTGATCGCCTTTCTGCAACCCTCCTTGCTGTTCATTCCTCCTCGGCTTGTCACATGCCCTGACAGTGACAACCTGACGTGGAGTACGGACGTGCCCCTGTCTGGGTGAGCTGCCGTGGGCCCCACTGTGTGCTGTGGCAGGTGGCAACCACGAATTCCCACTAGGGTCATGGTGCTTTCCTCAGAAGCCGCATTCGTCTTTGTCCACCTACCAATTTGATTTTTTTTTTTTTTGAATTTTTGTTTTATTTGAAAGGCAATGACAGAGATGCCAGTTCAGTCTGCATTGGCCCACAGCAACTGGGACAGAGCCAGGCCAAAGCCAGGAGCCCAGTAGCCCGGCTCTCCCACAGCTTTGGGCTGTAATGTGCTGCATCCCAGGGTGCCTCAGCAAGAAGCTGGATGAGAAGCAAGCGGCTGGACTCAGGGCCGCCACTGCACGGGGACGACCCGGCAGCACCTCTGTGCCCAGCACCTGCTAGCCTTCACCCGGGAGCTGGCAGGGTAGGAGGGCAGGCTGCTGTTGGAGCAATGTTCCTGGGCGTAGCTTCACCAGGTGTGCTCTGCAAAGTGGGGTGTGTGTGGGTCGATGCCCCCACCTGCCGGCCAGTCAGGGACCAAGGTGCTAGCCTTCAGGGAACTTGCATCAGAGCGGACAGGAGAGCCATGGTCGCATTGCACATTTTATTTTTATTTTCATTCTTTTCCTTTCTAATTCAATAGACGTTTGTCTTTCTGGTTTCTCATCACTCCCTTGATGCGTGTAGAGAATAGGGAGAACGCTGGCAGTGGTGTGGGCTGCCCTTGGCCTGCACTCGGGTGGCACTGCCCACTGGAGCCTGCAGCACGCCTGGCCATGGTGTGGGCTGCCCTTGGCCTGCACTCGGGTGGCACTGCCCACTGGAGCCTGCAGCACACCTGGCCATGGTGTGGGCTGCCCTTGGCCTGCACTCGGGTGGCACTGCCCACTGGAGCCTGCAGCACACCTGGCCATGGTGTGGGCTGCCCTTGGCCTGCACTCAGGTGGCACTGCCCACTGGAGCCTGCAGCACACCTGGCCACACTGAGGTGTTTGCGCTTTCACCACGTTTACCCTCTGCTAGAACATTCCAGCGTCAGGACATCCTCTGTCTTCTCGGAGTCCCTGACCAGAAAGTCCAGCCAGGATGCCAGTTAAAGCACATGCCCTGGGCCCACCTCAGCGGCTTCTACTGGGAGACTGCAGCTGACCCCCGCACGGTGGTCCTCCCCGTCCCAGTTTTCACGTCATTATAAAAGTTGATCTAGTTCTGTAGCCAGAGTTTCAGGGATCCGGACGTAGAATTCCTCTAGCTATTCATTCAGCCATTTGTTCCATGTTGATGTTACAGCTGTGCCAAAGCCCCTCTCCCAGTCCCAGCTGGGGCCCACAGCCCGCCCCCGCACCTGCAGCTGTGCCAAAGCCCCTCTCCCAGTCCCAGCTGGGGCCCACAGCCCGCCCCCGCACCTACAGCTGTGCCAGAGCCCCTGTACTAGTCCCAGCTGGGGCCCACAGCCGTCCCCCCGCACCTACTGGCCCCCGTGCAGACACTCCCCACTGTGCAGTGCTGGCAGGAGCTGCGTGAGGGCAGCAGTCTGGGCATGCTCCAAACGCCCGTGTAGCAACAGATGGCTGTGTGACACGGGCTGAGCTGAGTCTCTCTCGCATGGTGACTGTTTTTGCCTGGAATCACTGACTTCCATGCACGCTGGGCAGAGCGTTTTCAGCGAGAGCCTGTTTAAAGCGCTAAGGCCCGTGAGCTCATCTGGTAGCTGCAGGCGGGACTCGGAGCCCAGCATCAGTGGCAGGCTTGTTCTAAGCAGGTCGGTCTGTGGGACCCCCGAATGGTGTGAGAAACATCCAAGGGACCCTTCGCAGCAAGGAGGCCCCCCTCCCCATGTGGAGGACCTGGGGCTGGGGCTGAGGAGGGGGCGGCAAGCCAGCCCGTGTCCCCTCCTGGAAGACAAGCTGGGAGGTGCCTGGCAATTCCTTTTGAAAACCAACAGGCAGCAGTGGGCGAGTGCGACCCTCATACAAAAGAGCTCTGGGAAGCTTTCTTTCACCCCTCCCCCCCCCCCAAGGAACTTGAATATTTACTTAGAGCAACAAGCAGGGACCATCTCTGGCTCCCTGGAGGTGGCTTCCCACCGGGCCATGGTCTTCAAGGGCCTGGCCCTGACCCGGGAAGGAAACCGCTTCGGCCCAGGCTGGATTCCTGCCCACACTGGCCCTAGCACTCGGCTCCTTGCAGGCTAGAACTTTCACAGCATTGCCAGCAACCCAGGCACAGGAAAACCGCCAGGAAGGCAGCTGCCCGGGCCACGCTTGGCACACCTCCGGGGCAAGGGACGTTAAAGCCGAGGGGCCCGGGGCTGCAGGGGACGTTCAGCCGACCGACAGCGAGGAGCTCATGGCCATGGGTGCTTGTTGCTGCCGTGCTCTGCCAAGAAAGCATGCTCTACCCCCAGCTTGCTGTTGCTTGCCAATTCCCACCTGTCCCTTGCTGCTCACACTGATGTCTCTCTCTCTCTCTCTCTCCTGTTGAAACAGACCAACGGTTACGATGGAGACCTGTGCAGCTCACAGCCCCTGAGCAGAAGATCTGGCAGGGTTAGTACAGGCAGTGGCCACAGCCTCAACCATGGCTGGCTGCTTGGTGTCCCAGCATCTGTCTCTCCCTGGCGTGGGGTGGGAGGGCAGGGACCATGCCCTCCGCATGTTAGTTGCCTGGGGGACAGCGCATGGAGAACACCCTACTAGTTGGAAAGGGTCTGGAGTTCAAGCTGCTTCGTGCTTGCCTCGTCCTAGGCACACGTGTACCATGCGTGCCCAGAGCTCACAGTCGTGCTTAAATCTGACGCTGCCCAGCTCCGTCACGAGATGTGGATGTTCACACTCGGGAATGGCAGGCGAGCCTGGGCTGTCCAGAATGGTGCCCACCACAGAGGGGTAGGCTGCATGGAGAGCAGAGCCCGTCTGTGTGAGGAGCGGGGATGCAACCCACCCGTCCAGGCCTTGGGATGGGCCAGGCGGGGCCCCACACCGTGTCTGGGGTTGGACTGCACCCCAGGGAGATTAGGCTTCCTGGTCTCATTCATACAGGACTACTCAGTATTAAATGGTCCAAAAGCCGCTGGCTTTTTTCTTTGACTAATTGTGTAAAATAGTACGTATTTGAATCTCCCTTAACTCCATTATATTGATATATTAGACGTACGCTTAAGGGATATTTTTAGGGTGCAAATGGATGACTGCGCGTGGACTCGGCTGTCCAAATCTGTCCATTCGGGACCACGGAAGCCACTGTACTGCATTTCCCCCACGCTCTGCTCATTGCAACTTTTCCAAAGCCTGCGGTTCAGAGCCCACGGCCCCCGTAGTGCTTCTCAGGCTGACACTTGCTGTGAGTGTGTGAAGGGGGCAGCCCCGGGTGGGAGCCTCCAGCAGGCCATGGTGAGTGACAGTCCCACTCCCTGGGCTCAGCCGCTCAGGACCGGAGCCGTGGTGTTGGGGTGGGGCTGCACCCCTCCCTTAAGTCAGCGGTGTGTTGGGAAGCTCCCCAGGCAGAGAGGAGCTCCCGGGCGTGAGGCAGTGAGCCAGTGCCGGCCAGAGCCCGGGGCTGTGGGGAGATGCCCTTCCTGGGGGCTCCGGGGCTCCTCACAAGGAGAGCTTCCTCATCAGGTGGTCTCCACCTTATGTCTACACTTACACGTTTCTTATTTACTTATTTGAAAGGCAGACTTAGAGAGAGAGAGAGAGAGATCAGGTCCAGACCGAAGCTGGAGCTTCTTCCGGGTCTCCCACGTGGGCGCAGGGCCCAAGCAGGTGGACCATTCTCCGCTGTTCTCCCAGTCATATCAGCAGGGAGCTGGATCAGATGTGGAGCAGCTGCCAGTCTGATACAGGACACTGGCACCAGACAGCCGCCTAACGCACTGTGCCCCAGGGTCGTGCCGCGGGCCCCTGCCGCACCCGGGGTCTGCGCTGGGTTGCGGGACTCCGTGCTGGCCCTCGGCCCGGCCGCACCCGGGGTCTGCGCTGGGTTGCGGGACTCTGTGCTGGTCCTCGGCCCGGCCACGCCCGGGGATGGGGAGAAGGTGCCCCTCGGCTAACACCTTTCTCTCCTTCGGTGCCAGAGCTCGAGCTACGGTGGTGATGGCAGATTCCCCACTGTGTCTTCACCCAGGGAGGACAAGTTGGTTGGTTTCCATTTAAATCTTTCACATCCTCTCTTCAGCAATTGCAGGTTTTGTAGCATGCAATGTGTGTGTGAGAGACGGAGGGAGACAGAGAGAGACTGCTGCTCTCCCTTCTCGTAGTGTCGACTGTGTAGCAGAAAGGTCTGCATGGCTTTTGTTCTGTTTGGTTTTGGTTTTTCTTAGACTGACTCAAAAGGCAACGAACAGTTGGTGAGAACCGCCCAGATGGAGCCAAGCCAAGGCCAGGAGCCCAGGGTCACCTCCAGGGACAGGCCCCGCAGCTGGTCAACAGGGTGCCGTCATGGGCAAGCCCAGCGGACCAGTCTGGACCTCCGCCCCTCCTCCAGCCCTGGCTTTCTCCTGGGCCAGAGGCCGGCCTCCCTTCCCGCGCTCCATGCCATGTCCCCTTAAGGGGGCCCCAGCACCCAGCTCCCTCACCCCCCTGCAGCTTCGCCTGCTGTCCTGCCCCCGGGCACTGGATTGGAGCGCCCCACCCCTCGGGTAGCTGTCCCTACTCCTTGCCCTGTACGTGCCCGAGGATTGTGGATCACAGCACCTACGAGAGGAGTTGGCCCATTTCCTTGATCCATGAGGCAGATCACTGTTGCAGGGGGCACTCGGTCATTCAGAGAACTGGACTTCTCCTAGACACCGAGAAGGTGGAGCTGAGCGGGCAGCACTCGCGCGTGAATGACCCACCCATGCTCAGATTAGGTCTGACCCCCTTAAATGCAATAGAGAACCTGTGTCCAAAGGGTCAAAGGTCACAGTTAGATCTATGCAGGGAGCCTAGTGGAGGCCACGCGGCCCATTGTACCCCGTGAGGCTGCCTGACACCCCCTCGGCCGGCCACCCTCAGCATTCTCCTCTCCACTCCTGCCCAGCCCCTTGTCTTGGTCTGTCGTGCAAGTTGTATCCCAAAGAGGTCGCCTGGGGTGCAGAGGCTGTGGCTGTGCAGCGTGGTCAGCAGCCCCTGGACAGCACAGCGCAGCAGCTGCCTGCCCTGCTGTTATCTGACTCTATACAAGTGGGACCGGCGTAGTTGCTGCTGCTTTTTTTTTTTTTTTTGCAAGGTTTATTTTATTGTTTTCAAAGCAGTTACAACAGTTTTAGTCTCAATGCCACAGCGTCGGCCCCGGCCGTGTGGCACCCACACAGGGCAGGCCCTCCAGCTTGTACAATGCATTTCTGCACTGTGGTGGCATCTCCACAGCACCCCGCATTACCATTTGCCTCCCCACCGTGCTGTGGCTTATCCTGGGCCCTGGGAGGGGAGCTCGGGTGGCGGCACCCTGAAGGGGACACCTTCAGGTGTGCCAAGTGCCATTCCTGTGCCAGCCCCATCTTCAGGGCCCACCTGCTCTCACACGCCTGCCAAGGCTGCACCCTCAGATTTGTCAGGAGCCACACACTGCCTCCAGCTGGCTCCTGCACAGCACCACTCTGCCCACCACCCGAGCCTCAGCCTGAACCCCCCCAGGAAGCCATGCGTGTGCTCTGTCCCCCACATGGCGGCCACGTCCCTGCCGTCTCTTATGCGTTTTCCGCACCACGCTCAGAGGTCAGAGCTCGCCTTACAGGGCCCCTCCTAGGCCCCGGGGCCTTGCTGCCAGGGGGTTCCGTGCTCTGCCCTGTTGGACGTGGCCTCGTGCTGCCTCATTCCTCAGGCTGTAGACTATGGCAGGTAACTGCCCGGGCCCCTGTGCTTCCTCGGGCCATCCTCCTCCTGTCCCTGCTGCAGCAAGGGCGTGGCCTTTGCTGGTGTGCAGCCTCGGCCTCCTGGTGTGTTGTGTCTCTCATTCCGCCCACGTGTTGTCGGGGTTGCTGGTGAGGGCGTTCTGTGGCTGCAGCAGCCTCCTGCGTGGATCTCAGCAGCCTCGTTGTCCTGTGTGGGCTTGGACTCTTCTCAGCAGCTGAGGCCCCAGCACAGCCACGGGGCACGGCGAGTGTGAGGCCACAGGGGTATTTCCAAACACTTAGCTCCAGAAGCTGGTCTCTCGCGGCTTGCTGCCTTTTCCAGCAATTGTTCTCCATTTGGGGTTTGATTTGTTTTTTTAAATATATTTTTCTTGCACAAATGTGTGCAGGAAGCAATTTGGAGGAGTTCTGGCCACCCCGTGCTGCAGAAGCGGAGGGACAGCCATTCCTGGCTCTCGCTCATTTCCTGTTTGTACAAGGCCAGGTTCAGAGGGGTTCATATTTTGGAGGTTGAATCTCCCACCCTCTCCTGTCCCTGAGTGTCGACTCGCAAGGCCAAGTGACCGGTGCCCAGCCGTGCTCAGCCGTGCCAGCCTGACCACGTAGCAACAGGGCCTCTGCACCCCCAGTGAACTGCCTGGTGCTCCAGTGGAACGTGGCACTGCCCGCCTGCTGGGCTCCCAGGCTGCCCTTCCACAGGGCCCGTGCTGCAGTGGCCCCGTCCTCTCCCCGTGTGGACGTCTGTGTTGAGACCTCCTGGGCGCTGTCTGAAGCAGGGTCTGCTGCTGCGGACGACAGTGCTGACCTGCCAGTTCCCCAAGCCCTTGGTCCTTGAAGGGAATGAGTAGAGCACAGCCATGTCTCCAGCACTGGCAGCGCGCTGCGCAGGGATCCGTTCCGCGAGCTTGCCGCTTGCGCTGGTGCTCGGAGTGGGAGGTGCGAGCCGGCCGGCTTTGCCTGCGATGGCACCGTGACTCAGCTCTCACGGGAACTGAAGCCATCAGGTGGCCCTCTCCCTGGCACAGTTCAAGGCTTTTAAAACCTGCCGTTTGTTTCCATCCTGCAGCCTTTCTGTGCGTACGGCGCTGCCTGGTCCGCCGGGAGGTACAGGGTGCGTGCGTGTGCCTCCCAGCCCGCGGGGGATTGCACGTCCCACGGAGCTTACACCAGCCACCGGCTGTCAGCCCCCTCAGGCCAGATGTGGGCTTCCCGCACCTCGCTGCCCCCACGCCCGTGAGGCTTGCGGTGGTCAGCACTAGTAGGCAAGCTGGCTTTCAGTGTGCTGGGGTGTGCGGCACACCGCACTCTGCTCGCTCCTGTCACCGTCTAAACCTGGGAAATTTCCAGTTGTGAATTCACACGCTTATGCCGCGCAGGAAACTTGACCTGAGTATTCAAAGCCAGCTGAGCCGTGCTGTGAACTGGGGGTTCCCATCAGCTCACTGGCTGGTGAATCGGCACACGGGTGAGCGAACTGCTGTGTTCTCAGGGGAAAGGAGTACGGCTCAAGTTCCTTTCAACTGAACAGTCTGACATGGCCATTGGTGGTGCTGTAAGCTCCTGATCACCCGTAACGACTAACTAGATTAATAGCATTCGCTACTTACTCAACTACTCTGCCTTCGATTTCTTAACTTTTGAAGAGTTTTGAAGTATTAAAACCATTAACACAATTAAACGTTTTGCTTTGAAGCCGCATCACACAGGGGAATTCTTTAAACATCAAGTGTAAGAATGCCACGTGTGTGTCAGTTACCCACTAAACCTGGAAACGCGAAGTGGGACTTGGCGTGGGTGTGTGCGAGTGTCTTGGATTCACACACACTAGTGGTTGTCGCATGGGCTTAACAGCCGCCAAAACTTCTCTCGCTTTGGCCTGCTCGGCAGCTCTTTGGAAAGGAGCTGGGAATGGTGGCCTCCTCGGGCCTTGCTGCACGCGGGCATGGCTGGCACGGTCAGCAACTGGTGTGTGCTCTGGGAGACGAGAAGGGCACCCCTCCTGATGCTCTGTTTTGGTCGCAGGCGTCCGTGTTGGATGAGAGCAGCCTGGCCAGGGTGCGCCGGGGCAGCGGCTGCGGCTCGTACGCTGTAAGCACCGTCATGCCCACTCCCCACCCTGTCGGTTCTGGGACCCTGGGAATGCTCGCGGGTGGGCTGCAGCCGAGGGCAGGGACTGACCGCCTCAGGGTGGAGGCCGTCCGTTTCAGCAGGCTGTGGGTGATGTGAACTGTTGGTTGGTAGCGTCCTCACGCGTCATTTCGCATCCAGGTCAGAGGGACAATAACCTTAACTGAGTCTTCCTCTCTCCCTGCATCCGCTGGTAGTCGTGTAGTGGAGGACTCATAAAACAATAAAAGGAGACAGAATTTAACAGGCCACCGAGTATTTTTGCCTCTGGATAAGCAAGAAGGCTAAAAAGTTTTTTTTAAAGATTATTTGTTTTGGAAAGAAAGAACAGGGAAGCAACAGAGTCTTAAGATCTTCCATTTATCAGTTCATTCCCCAAATGGCAGTGACAGCCAGGGGGGACTGACAGGAGCCAGGGAGGACCGACAGGAGCCAGGAACTCTGTCCAGTGTCCCTCGTGGGCGACAGGACCTGTGGACTCGGGCCGTCCTGCTCTGCCTTCTCAGGAGCCAGGAACTCTGTCCAGTGTCCCTCGTGGGTGACAGGACCCGTGGACTCGGGCTGTCCTGCTCTGCCTTCTCAGGAGCCAGGAACTCTGTCCAGTGTCCCTCGTGGGCGACAGGACCGTGGACTCGGGCCGTCCTGCTCTGCCCTCTGAGGCACATCAACAGGGAACTGGATCAGAAGCAGATCAGGAAGGCCTGAACCCAGTGCTCCCCTCAGAGATGCTGGTATTGCAGTCAGAAGCCTAATCCCCTACACCACACCACCGGCCCCACAGTGAACAGATTTGAATACTCAGAGTATTACATGTTTCATTTCCTTTGAAAATATTGTGGTCTTCTCATTTCTTTCTTCTAACACAAGATAATCGGGGCCAGGCATGATGGGCTCTGGCTGAATCCTTGCCTTGCAAGCACCAGGATCCCATATGGGTACTGGTTTGAGTCCTGGCTGCTCCATTTCCCATCCAACTCCCTGATTGTGGTCTGAGAAGGCAGCGGAGGATGGCCCAAAGCCTTGGGACCCTGCCCCCACATGGGAGACCCAGAGGAGGCCCCTGGTTCCTGGCTTTGGATTGGCTCAACTCCAGCTGCTGCAGCCTTTTGGGGAGTGAACCAGCAGATGGAAGATCTTTCTCCTTTTCTCTGTAAATCTGTCTTTCCAATGAAAATAAGTAAACGTTTAATAGACGTCAGTTATCGCAGTCAAGGGGCAGTCAGGGTACGGTGTTGGTTGGTTTGTGAGTGGGGCCGGCAGTAAGCAAGCCAAGGCTGAGCCCGTGGGAGCCAGAGGGGAGCCCACCTGTCCTGCCTCAGTGCAGTATCCTGTGCTGGCCAGCACTTTCCCGTGGACCAGGAGCCAGCTGTTGGAATCAGCTACCCAGTTGGTAACTTGTTTTCTGATTGGCTCTGCCATTTCTCTGGTGTCATAGCTGCCCACACGTTCCTTCCAAGTCAGTCGGTCATGGCCATCTAAGTAAGCCTAGATGAGTTTTTGTGTCACACAAGCCCGTGGGATGAAGTATTTTTCCCTGCCCTTAAATACCGCTGTAGAATCCTAGAAAACTCATAAGCCAGGCCAAGGGCCAAGCCAGCCCTGATCCATCATCAGGTGGAAAAGATGCAACTGTTTGATCAGGAAAGCCTGAGCTTATAGGGCCTGGAGAGGAGCCTTTTCCTCAGCGCTCAGTGGGGAGAGGGTGTTGGCAGCCCCCGGTGTACCTGCTGTCCCTGGGAGGGGTCTCCTGGATGCCCTGTCAAGATCGCCGTGCACGCACTCTGGGAGGGCAGGGTGTTACTGGTGGTTTCTGTGCTCTCAGCCTCTGTGGGACTCCCCAGGGAGGGCCCGCCGCCACCGGAGGTGAGGGAAGGAAGCATTGCCTGGTCCAGGCCACAAAGGTGCCGGAAACAGGATACGCGGGGGGTTGGGGGCTTCATGGCCCTGCAGCAGGGAGCTCCAAGGGAAGTTCCTGGACTGGACAAGTGTCCTTGACCCCTGGGTGACACCCACACCCCAGCAGAACCGTCCCTGAACCCTGCTGGCACCCCCAGAGGGAATGCTGAATATCTCTCATTTCTGGGCGAGCCTGCAGAGAGAGCCTCACCTAGCAGCCTCCCATGCCACTGTGGGGTGGCTGCCGACAGGACAGGCTGAGGTGGAGGCTGTGGCTCCGGCACCTGCTGCTTCAGACCAGGGGAAGGGGCCAGGAGAGGAGCTGCCCCCAGCCTGCGGGCATCCGCTTCAGGTGGCCGCAGCCTGAGGGTCCACACCAGCCCTTCCTCGGCATGCACAGGGACAGGCCCTCTGGCATGGGGTCACGTCTATGCCTGCTTGAGGCCTCTGCAGAAAAAGCCGTGTGTGCATGCTCTGGCTGTGTCCCCGGCACCCACGTGTGGGCCCCATCCCTTCTCAGAGAAAGCAGGCCCATCGCGGTGTCCAGAGTGATGACCAACACAGAGTAATCAGGCCCCTAGGCCACGTGACTCCGGGATGTGAGGTGCCCACAGACTGAGTACTTACTCCCTGCCGAGTGCTGCGGTCCGGGAGCTCTTGGGGCCCGGGCTGTTGGGCCAGCAGTCCCCCACAACCGGCTAGCTTGAACCACCCGAGGGACGGAGAGTCTGGTAGGACTTGTCCAGGGGATGAAGCCTGCCTCTGTCCTGCCTCTGACCCCGTTGACCCCAGCCCGTCTGGCGGAGCCCTGAGAGTGCCCCGCGCTCAGTGCTGGGTGGCTGGCGGCGGTCTGTTCGCTGGGCGTGTGTTTCCCGGGTGGGCTCGGTTTTCTCGGGCCATGGAGCATTCCTCAGGAAGCAGAACAGACCTCCAGTGAGCGCAGGGGAAGGTCTGCCAGTGGCACTTGGGGTGACAGCCGTGGCCACCCTGAGGGAGCTGGGCTTCCCTGTGGTTCGCGCCAAGAACAGCGTCCCAAGTCTCCATCAAGCTTCCGACACAGTGCGGTGGTCTGGGTGTGGGACGGGGGTCTCCAGATGTTCTCTTGATGACACGGCAGGTGCGCCAGCACCCATCACCCTGGATGCTGTCCACATTTTCCTCCCACCCTGCCTTGCAAGAGGAAAGTGAAGCTTCCCACAACAGGGACAAACCCAGCGATGACCAGCGCCCAAGGGCGCGCCAGGCAAGGCAGGCGGGCACGGCTTCCAGGGAGTGGGCGTTTGGCACTTTCCTTCAGCCACACAGAGCGAGCGTGGACGGATGCCAGGACAGGCAGCCAATGTCCATGCATGCGTGGGGCGCAGGGCCATCTGTGGACACTCGGGTGGCCTCCCAACACACCCAGATGAATGGGCAATGGTATCTCCTTCCTCCTGTTAGCTCAAGGCTCTCTTGGCTCCTTTGATGCTTGATGGAGCTCCTTGATGCTGGCCCTGTTCCTCACGGGAGTGTGATGCCTCTGCACTGACCGGGGGCTCTCGGCTACCCCGTGCCCTCTGCTTCTCCCCCTGCACTGACCGGGGGCTCTCGGCTGCCCTGTGCCCTCTGCTTCTCCCCCTGCACGGACCGGGGGCTCTCGGCTACCCTGTGCCCTCTGCTTCTCCCCCTGCATGGACCGGGGGCTCTCGGCTGCCCTGCTTCCTCTACCTCTTGCTGACCCTGTTCTGTTTTCTCTCTGTGCTTCCTGGTGGTGGTGGCTGCTGTGTGGGCAGCCTTCAGAGCACAGCGGCCACCTTACCTCCAGCTCCCGCGCCTCCTCCAGGGCCAGCTCAGCCCGTGCCAGCCCAGTGGTAAGTCAACCTCGGGGTGCCGCTGCCCGGCTGCTCCTCCCCTGTCCTGTGAGTGATCCTCCCTCAGGTTGCCAAGAGTTCCCCTTATGTTTTATTTCAGGTCCAAGTGAGAGTGGGGCTGGGATGAGGGAATTGCATGTTTGCACTGGCACTGTGGGGTGATGGCTTCGTGTTGCTGAGTTTCCCCAAAACACAAGACGCTGCTGACCATAATTAGAGACAGGCCCTGGGTGGGACACTGTGTGCGACAGGAGGAGACATGGAGCCACAGTGCATGGGGTGTGGCTTTTGAAGGATTGGCTTTTGTGTCACCTGTCCCCAGACCCAGAGTCTGGGAACAGTCTGGGCCTGCAAATGCTGTGGTATTTCAAGTCCTGCCTCATCTGTCCTCTGCTGGTGCTCGGCTCGGTGTGTGTTCACTGGTCCCCATCCCCTGAGGACCTGTGGCAGGTGCATGAGAGACAAGATTACTCTGTCCCTCGGTGTGTGGAGTTCTAGCTGCCACCGTGTGGCCACCAGCTCAGGTGCCCAGCTCCACCCCTCACTGTGTGGCCCGGGTTTGGATGAGCTGCACATGGGTCCAGGGCGTGCCTGGCTCAGCCTCCGCAGCCAGGAGCACAGAAGCCCGGAGTTTCTCCTGGCCGGAGCTCTCTGCTGTCAGACAGATCTTGGAGGGGCGGTAGCTGTGAGCCAAGGATCCCCAGGGACCCGCCCTGGCTGCTGTGTCTTCTTCAAGTCTGTGTCCGTACCCAGCATCTAGCCCGCGGGCGGAGCAGCACAGCTGAGCTGGGTGAGATGTTAAAGAGCATTGGGAGGAAACAGCTTTAAAAAAAAAGTGCTATTTGTTTATCTAAGGAGCTAGAGAGAGTGCCCGCCTGGTGCGTCTCCCCGAATGCAAGGAATGCAAGACAGAGCCGGGTGCTGGGAACCCAGTCCCAGTCAGTCTCAAGATGCTGGGAACCCAGCTACTCTAGCCATTGTGTGCTGCCCTCCGTGGTATGCAGTGCTGGGAACCCAGTCCCAGTCTGCCTCAGGGTGGCAGGAGCCCAGGAGCCGGGTGCTGGGAACGCAGGATCTGGATGCTGGGAACCCAGCAGCAGGGAGCAGGGCCAGGGCTCAAAGAAGGCACCTACACGTGGCCTGTGAGAGTCCCGCCCAGGAGCCTGGCTGCTGAGTCCCGCCCCCGCCCCCGACCTGGGCATTCTAAGTGAGAGTTACCTGTCACGCGAAGCTCTGGATGGGAGAGTGTCAGTGCAGGGGTGTGTTGGCTGAGAGTTTCCTTGGGACCTGGAAGCCAGCACCCCTGGGTCCCCACGTGTCCCCAGATCGGCCTGGAAACCCAGGGACGCCACCCCAAGGGTGAAGCCCCTGGCAGGAATGTGCTGGGTACGGTCCAGCTCCGTGTGTCACTGTGTCAATTCAGAGAATTCCTGGGCAGCAAGCTCAGGTCTCTGCCCGCTCAGAGTAGCAAAGTCAGAGACTGTTGTGGCTGGCCTGTCCCTGTCAGTGTCTGCAAGGTCTAGTAGCCCCCTGTGTCCCAGGTCTCGGGTGAGGCTAGGCCTTGAAGCCACCAGCAGCCGTGGCCTCCCTGGCATCCCACAGTCCCCACCAGCCCCCGTCCCCCGACAGTGGTCCCAACAGCAGGTACCACTAGGGCAGGGTTCAGCCATCCTTTCTTCTTTCCATTTATCATTTTCAGAGATGAGAAACTGTGTGACAGCCTCTCTGGAGCTGGGGCTGTGCCAGGGCTGCGGACGCGAAGTCGTGTTGGCGTCTGCGTTCCTGCCTGGGGCCCTAGTTAAGGCCATTTTGGCTCAGGCATGCGCAAAGCAGGGAGCGAGCCCAGGTTGTGTCTCTGCTGCTCATAGGGCACCAGGGACACACAGACGGGAGTAAGTCCTGACCTTCAGGCAGGTAGGTGAGTTGGTGCAGCAGGTGCAAGCATCAGATCATGGCGTTGAACTTGGAGCTGTCCCATGGGAGGCCCTGGACTGGCATCCTAAGATAAAGCTGGGTTTGGAATCGGCCTGTTCCTGTTTGTGGAACTCTTTGAATGATCTTTGCTTGGTTTCCTCAGCCAGGGAGCTGTAGCTGCATTGTGCTGTGCCTTCCCACTGGAGAGGAGGGTGCTCGGCGGCCCTCCGGTCAGGGGCAGCAATGCATAGCCTTCCCATCATGCTGAGCGTGAGTGTGACACCTGCGCGCCCACGCTCAGCAGCCGGTGGCCTCCTTGCCCCGACCCGATCATGCTCCGTTTGTGCGTTTGCAAAAGCACTCCATCAGGTTTCTCCAGGTGCAGCCTGGCACGAGGGAAGGCTCAGGGAGACCCCCGCACGGGAACATCAGGAAAGCCCAGCTCTCGGAGCCCCGCGTTTCCCGGGGTTTTGTTTCTCTTGCCCCGTGCCCCCTGGATTCTTCCTGTCGCCGTGGTGCTCTGAGGTATTGACCTTGCGTCTGTTTTCCTCTACAGGTTGAAGAGAAGCCAGAGAAGGATTGCACTGAGAAGGTAGGAGTTGTTGACAAGCTTGTATGACACCACATGAAAGCCTTCAAGGTCCCCAGCTACAGACAGAGGTCACCAGGATGTGCCTTTCATATGCTGGCCAGACCCAGCACAGGGTCATCGCCAGGGGCCACGTCCTCTGTCCCGGGCAAGCGGGGGGAGGGGAGTGGGAGGCCCTGCAGGACAGAGCCAACATCAAGCACCAGCCCGCCATGGAGCCTCAGGTCAACCCAGCTGACCCCAGCTGTCCACAAGGGACCCCGGAGCGCCTGAAGATGCCCCCAGCTATCAGCACAGAGGCAGGGCACCATGAGACCCAGAAGACGTTGAGCCTCTGTCTGCACTCACGTTCCGTCCTCATGTCGTTCCAGGGGTCCCGAAACATGCCGGGACTGTCCGCGGCCACGCTGGCCTCCCTGGGCGGGACTTCCTCCCGGAGGGGAAGTGGAGATACGTCCATCTCGCTGGACACTGAGCCCTCCATCAGGGAGATCAAGGTAAGAGGCTTACTCCCGTGCCAGGTGAACGTCAGTCCTCATGAGAGCTTCAGTTCCTAACATTCCAGAGCTTTCAGCTCAGTGCCCCCCACCCCCCAAAACACAGCTCAGTTTCTCCTGCTGAAAATGGACCCACCGGCCCCACCTCGCAAGAAGCCCTATGTGTGTGCCTGCTGCTGGCTGCCCCGTGCCCTGGCCCGCCCTGGGAGCGCTGACCCAAGCCATCATGCCTACAGGCCTGGCACGTGCAGACAAGCAGTCTGCAGGGGCTGGGGACTGGCAGGGAATGTTTAGATGTGGGGTTACTCCCTGTGCCTGGACCCCTCGGCCGAGAACAGGCACTCTGCTTCTAGGGGTGCCACACCTGTGGCCGTCCGTGTGTCTTGTCTTCCTCCTGCAGGTGTCTGTCCTTTTGTCACATCCTTGGTCTCCAGGATGGCACCAGGCATTCAGGCTCATCCCCTGTGCGAAGCACAGAATAGCTAACCTAGGCCATAGCACATCTGGCATCAGAATGGAGGGCCTTTCCACTGACAGAGCCCTGTGACCCCAGAGTGCAAAGCTGGGACAAGGGCTTAGAGGAGTCCCACCCACCACCCTGTGACCCCAGAGTGTGGAGCTGGGACAAGGCCTTAGAGGGGTCCCACTCAGCACCCTGTGACCCCAGAGTGCGGAGCTGGGGCAAGGTCTTAGAGGGATCCTACCCAGCACCCTGTGACCCCCAGAGTGCAAAGCTGGGACAAGGCCTTAGAGGGGTCCCACCCAGCACCCTGTGACCCCCAGAGTGCAGAGCTGGGACAAGGCCTTAGAGGGGTCCCACCCAGAAGGGCCCTGTGACCCCAGAGTGAGCTGACCCCCCAGACCTGTGCCAGAGTGCTGGGACAAGGCCTTAGAGGGGTCCCACCCAGAAGGGCCCTGTGACCCCAGAGTGTAGAGGCTGATGCAAGGCCTTAGAGGGGTCCCACCCAGCACCCTGTGACCACAGAGTGCGGAGCTGGGACAAGGGCTTAGAGGGGTCCCCCAGGCCCTGACCCAGAGAGGGTGCAGCCTGAGGTCGCACCCACACAGAGTGCGGAGCTGGGACAAGGCCTTAGAGGGGTCCCACCCAGAAGGGCCCTGTGACCCCAGAGTGTGGAGCTGGGACAAGGCCTTAGAGGGGTCCCACTCAGCACCCTGTGACCCCAGAGTGCGGAGCCGGAACCCGGGCACCCAGCATCATCTCTGCACAGTCTTCCGATGCTTGATGCTGGTTGCCAAGCCATCCTGCCTCACTGGAGTGGGGGCAGCTGGGGAACCTCTGCCCCAGGGGAAGGGGACGAGGGAAGGGCTAGGCAGCTGCGGGGGAGGGGCTGCTGTGCTGTGAGGGCAAACAGCTGGGAGACCCAGGTCCCAGCCACCTGTGGCTCCCCACACGTGGCATGCTCCTCTGCCATGTGTAAGCAGGACTCCTGGTGTGTGTCCCTGCTCTGGTGTGTGTGTTGCTGGAGCGTTCAGCTCATGCCACACGCTGACCTGGGTGCCAGGAGTTTGTAGTGAACTGGACAAGTGAGGGAGAGGCATGGGGCTCTGTGACGTGGCCCCAGGCCTCTCCCTGAGCTGTGCACACAGCAGGAAGTGTGTGGTGCTGGGGAGCCGTGAATGAACCGCTGTGTGTGTGTCTGCACACACGTTCTCCATCGCCACCTCCCTTGACGTCCTCTGCCCTGTTCTGTGCCGTTTCCCAGGAGCTCAATGAGTTAAAGGACCAGATTCAGGACGTAGAAGGCAGATACATACAGGGCTTGAAAGAGATGAAGGTACCGGCTTCCAGAGTGTGGGCTCGTGCTATTAACCCGACTGGCCTTCCAGGAGCCCCCGGAGCCCCGTGGCGAGTGCATGCCCACTCCACGGAGGCTGCGGGCAGGGAGGAAGTCCCACTGCAGTTCTCCACCCACCTCCTGGGGGCGTGGTCACTAACAGCCCCATTGCATGTCCTGTGCTCACTGCCCACCCCAGCCCTCGGACACCTGAGGACAGGGCAGGGCTCTCTGCATGTGCAGTGGCTGCGTCCAGGTGCCCCTCCCCTGTCCACTTCTCACACTGCCTGCCTGCTGCCCCCCAGGAAGGCGGGTGTGTGACACACTGCACTTTGGAAATATGCAGAGGATTTGCCTCCTGCCAAACGTTCCTAACTGACATGGCATCTGAATGTGCTGTCTGGCTTTCATGCCTTCAGGGCATGCTGTGGTGTCACTGTGCCACCCGAGACGGACTGTGACAGCTTGCAGCACCCATGGCTCACTGCCTCTTCCATTCCCCAGAGACTCCCAGAGAAATAGAATTCAGGGTTGGGGCTTTGTCCCTTACGGATTCATCATTCTCTTATTGGTCACCTCTCCTGGAACGGGAGCCCACTGAGAGCCAACATGGCACTCAGAATCATCCCCAGGGTTTGGAAGCGCAAGGCGAGGGCAGCCATGGCCTGCATGAAGGCTGCTCTGTGGACCTGTCCCCCACCAAGCAGCTGCCTCCTCCTGCTGGCCTCTGAGGGGTGCGGGTGGTCTCAGGGCTCTTCCTCCTCCTGCTGGACCACAGGAGGGGTAGGTTGTCCCAGGGCCCTGCCTCCTCCTGCTGGGGCCCTGGAGGGGGTTCTCCAGGGTTCGTCCCCCTTGATGGCTGTCTCGGGACCTGTCCGGGCTCAACCATGCTTACTCTGCAGGATGCGCTCGGCTGCCCTTTCACAGGGATGACCACTGACTTTCCAGGCCCAATGGCAGCCTTGCTGAGCTGTCCAGGTGGTCCATGGCCCACTGCAGGCTGGGCAGGTGTTTCGTCACATCTGCCGCCACACACTGGCACTCTGCCGAGTACTACTTGCCTGCCTTGAGTGGTGGCTTCTGCGGCTGTCCGGCAGCCCTGGCCTGCTGCGGGGAAGGTCTCTCTGGAGCCCGGACCCCGTTTCCTCTGACCTGCTCTGCTCTCACTGCTACATCGCCAGCAACTCGTCCTCAGTGCCGGGAGCGGGGCGATCAGGCCGTGCACTCCGTCCTGTGACTTCTCTGTGCTAGGGAACATGGCCCGCCTTCCAGCCTGAGTTACTCTGGGGGTTGTTCTCAAGCATGACAACAACCCTGTGCTGGCTTTCCTCTTGCAACCTCCAGCCTTCCGCCCGCAGGACTCCCTGGCCGAGGTGGAGGAGAAGTACAAGAAGGCCATGGTCTCCAACGCGCAGCTGGACAACGAGAAGACCAACTTCATGTACCAGGTGGACACGCTCAAGGACGTGCTGCTGGAGCTGGAGGAGCAGCTGGCCGAGTCCCGGCGCCAGTACGAGGAGAAGAACAAGGTGCAGTGTGGGGCGTGCAGGGCGGGGCCCTGGGTCAGGGGGGCTAGAAACGTGGGCATCCCCGTGCACGGTGTGCACACACCTGCACACGCATTCTCCATCGGACAGCAGGCCTGCTTGCTGCTGACTGAGAAAAGGAGCAGGGCAGGCTCCTTAAGCGCCAGGAAAGGAGTCTTGGTGCAGGTTCCATTAAGAACACCTGGACTGATTCATCCGTAGGAGGTGACAGTGGGCGGGAGTCACAATCCCGTGTGGAGATGATCCTTGTGGAGTTACAGAGCAGCGGGCACTGGCTTTTCATCCTTAGGGAAGCTAGCTATGAACCCTAGAATCTTGTTCCAGTGTTTGAAAGGTTCTGAAATAACGGAGAACGTAGTACGTGTCATTGTCCTTTAAGAAACCACGGGAAAAATCTTGCAGCTCTCAGGCGTTCAGAGCCAGGTGACCACACAGCTCAAGGCTGCTTCTGCGCAGTGGCAGGACTGAACGGGAGAGCCAAGAGGGGTCGGCATTGAGGTGCTGCGGGGAGCAGGCAGAGCTTGCTTCCCCAGCCCGGCCTGGGTGGGTAACGGGCGTCACTTGGACATTACTAAGAGACCAGGCACCCAGGTCTCACTGCAGAGGAGCTGCAAGGGGCACTAAGTGGGCGGGGCAGGCTGAGCTGAGGCCAGCAGGGAAGCCCGTCTCTGCTGGGAGACGGCGGGGGCAGGTAGCACGGTCCAGCGGCGCTTCCTGCTGTCCCTCCCCTGAGCTCCGGGCACTTGGTTGAGTCCCAGCGTATCACTAGGTAGCCAGCAGGACAGAGAGCCCAGGCCCCCCAGAGCAGCTTTGCCCCGTGTGCCCGCCCCTCACTTCCTGTCCTGGCCCTCTCCAGCACCTGCGCTCTTTTCCCCGTTGCAGGAGTTGGAGCGAGAGAAGCACGCCCACAGCATCCTGCAGTTCCAGTTTGCTGAGGTGAAGGAGGCCCTGAGGCAACGCGAGGAAATGCTGGAGGTACGTGTACCCCGTCTCTGGGCCGCCGCGTGCAGGTGCCCTGGGCTGCTGGGCGGCGGCAACAGAAGCTGGGCATGCCGAGTCGGGGCCTTGTTCCCATGAGGCAGCCAGCTGTCAGGTGTGTCCTGCCCATGGGACCAGGACCCCACGTTTACGACCTCCAGTAACCCTGATCACCTCTCAATAGTCACACTGGACAGGGGGCCGGGTCAGTGAGTGGCGGTTACTGGCATCACCTGTCTTCCCCACAGGCTTAGGCTGGCCGCCCCACCCCGGCCACCCTCTCAGGGCTGGCTATTCCCATTGTCTGCGGTGTTGAGTTTGGGGAGTATGTCCATCTCCCAGCCGCAGGAGCCTGGACCACATGACCGCCGGGGGAGGGGCTTGGGGAGATGTGAGTGGGCTCCAGGCCTTGGGGTGAGGTCTTCCTGGCTTCAGGTGGGCTGATGAGGTCACCAGGGTCCTTGGAAGAGGAAGGACCTGCAGGAGGGGCAGGAGAGGTGACCACACAAGCAGGGTGTGGGACGTGGGGCAGGGGTACAGCCGAGTTCCAGAGGCTGCCGGGAAAGACCTCCACCTGGAGCTCCCTCGGAGCCTGCAGAAAGCCTCAATGTTAACCTCGGGACTCACCGTGCACTTCCGACCCCCAGAACTTCAGGCCCCTCGTGGTGGCGTTTCTGAGCCTCTGCACCTGCCGTGCACGCGGGTCCCTCTTGCACAGCTGGCTTGGCATTCTTCACACTTTCCCTGGCGCCTATGAGAAGCAGGACACAGCCTCCCCAACGCTGGGGTGCTGGGGTGACCCGAGGCTGTGTCGGGGAGTCCGTGGCGCTCTCGGAGTCTCCCTGCTTAACCCTCGGTCTGCTTTCTCTCCTGTTGCTCTCCTCAGGAAATCCGACAGCTGCAGCAGAAGCAGGCGAGCTATGTCAGGGAGATTTCTGACCTTCAGGAAACGATAGAGTGGAAAGACAAAAAGATAGGGGTAGGACTTGCACGCCTTTGACACGTGAGCCAGCGGGCGGGCCGCCTGGCCCGTGCGTCCCACGGAGCCTCCTCTTGGCAAAGGCACGCGCATGAGTGCATGGCCTGCGGGAAAAGCCCCTCGGGACACCCAAGTAACAGCGGGTGGATGTGCTAGCTTGCCCAGACTGCTCTTACCTTGACTGTGATGTCAACCTGGAAGTCTGTGGCTGCCCCTCAGCCTGCACTGTGCTGGCAGGCACCAGGGGCAGGCCTTTGCACTTCCCTGGAAGGGTTAGATGGGGCTGCAGGTGGAAGGAGCTGTGCCCCACGCGTTGCCCTGAGAACTCCCCATAAACCTCCTGGGCCCCCTCTCCCTGCATAGCAGAAGGAGGCGAGTGCAGACCAGGGACGGGGTCCCCACGCCCACCCGGAGGAGCTGCTGAGCTTCATAATGACAAAGAAACCTGTAACTCATACAGAGAGCCCCACAGGGGACGTGCGAGTGTGTCCTGAGCTGGTGGATGCCACAGGGTAACACCAAGCCCTCACTTGCCAGCAGCAGTGCCTGGGTGCCGGTGTGTCTCTGCTCTGTGACAAGAGCCAATCCCCTGTGTGGACATGCCCATTCTTTACTTACCCTTCTCTGAAATGGGTGCTCACTGCTCCCTGAACTCCCCAGCGCTGTGGTGTGAGTCTGCATGCAGAGCAGGGCAGGAGACTGAAGAGCCTGGGAGTGTGCATGGTTGGAGAGGCGTGTCTTCGGGTGGGCAGACAGGCAGGGGCTCAGGGCGCATGCTCCCTTGGCAAGCTGGATCCGTGCATGCCACATCTCACCGCAGCCTCTCTAGCCCTTTGACTCGGCCAGTATCTCAGCTGCAAGTGCCCTGCTCACCTCTGCCGACCTCTCTGTCTCCCTCACCGCTGCTGCCCGCCCAGGCGCTAGAGAGGCAGAAGGAGTTCTTTGATTCCATAAGGAGCGAGCGCGATGATCTTAGACAAGAAGCAGTGGCACTCAAAGAGGAACTGAAGGTATGGAGCCGGAGGCCCCGCGGAGCAGCTGCGGAGGCCGCGCAGGTCCTGGGCCTCCCTGCACGCACAGCGTCCTGGCGCTAGCATCATCCATGTCAGTTCCCTCAGCCGGCTCAGCTGACAGGTCCTGGGTCGGCAGTGTGGCTTCAGCAGGATCCGCTCACGACCTTGAGCTGCCTGCACACGTGACAGGTGGCAGAATAGCTCTGTTCCAAGGATGTTTTTGCTCGTTTACCTGCATTCTTTCTACATGCACTAGCAGGTTCTCCAGGATGCTCCTCAGGGCTGGGGACCTGGCGTGTACATCTTAAAGCCTGTTGCAGGAGGTCCCCACGCAGCCACAGAGCGCACAAGGCCGAGGGGACAGACCAAGACATGCTCTATGACCCAAATCACAGGGACGGGGGCCTTGTTAGGGAGTGACCCAGAGCACAGACCCCACAGAGAGCAGCACCCCAAGTGGCTCTCACAGGACCAGGAGGAATTCCCGAATGGTCCCCAGAAACATCTCAGCGTGTGACCCTGGTGTTCTGAGAGCCTGAGCTGAGAGCAGCGGGAAGCAGGGCCCAGCGCTGAGGTCCACAGTGAGGCTGCTCACCAAGGCCGTGAGAGCAGCACTGGGGAAGGCTTAGGCCAGGGCCATGCCAGCTACAGCAGTGAGCCAATGACAGCGGACCTGGGGCTCGGTCACAGCGGTGAGCCAGTGACAGCAGACCTGGGGCTCGGTCACAACGGTGAGCCAGTGACAGACAGCAGACCTGGGGCCTGGGCACAGTGGTGGCAGTCAGCCAATGACAGCAGACCTGGGGCTTGGGCACAGCAGTGAGCCAGTGATAGACAGCAAGCCTGGGGCCTGGGCACAGCGGTGAGCCAGTGACAGACAGCAAGCCGGGGGCCTGGGCACAGCGCTGTCTGTCACTGTGTAGTCTGCACAAGCCAGGCAGCATTTGGAAACCCCTACCACTTGAGGGCCACACCCGGCCCTGTCTGCCTGAAGGATGCACCCCGGGTTTAACCAGGCACCTGTCATCAGTCTGTCATGCGGCCTATCTCAGCCACAGACAGGGCCCCAAGAGAAGGAAGGCTTCCCGAAGCGTGGATGTGCGTGGGGTATCAGCAGGTGTAGGGCCAGCTCGTTGTCCCTGGTCACTTCAGGGTCAGCATTTTTGCATCTTACTGCTGACAGCCACACTGCTTTTCTTCCCAGAAACATGGAATCATCATAAACTCAGAAACAGCTACCAATGGAGAGACTCCTGACTTGCCCAACAACACGGGCCACCAGGGCCCTGCCAAGGTGACCACGGAACAGCTGAGTGCCCTCAGGTCCCCGGGGGACGGGCCTCCAGGTGAGTGTCTTGCTGTGGCTGCGTGCTCCCTCTCCCATCAGCACTGACCCCACCTTCCATGCATCCATTAACAGCCGTACAGCATGCTGCTGTCCCGTCACTTCATGGTCATTTTCTTGCCTACTGACGTGGTCACCCACGCAGCGTCCGGCATGCAACTCTATGTAGTGCTTACCACCGACAGCTCGAGAACACGTCTCCTTCGCTCTTCATAGCTGCCAAGCAAAACTAGCCCCAAGCCTCAGCGCCCACCAGCCCCTTTAGCCTTCCCGAGATGCGTGGCCGACTGTGGCTGTCTGAGCTGCCCTGTCGCAGACTTGTCCAGAGAGCTGAGTAAACTGCAGCTGTCAGGGAGGTGAGCCGACGGTTGCGGGCTCACCTTACCCAGATGTATCCCGCAGTCCCAGCTGCCAGGGGTGTGCACACCCCAGCCTGGTGCTCAGGCCTGGCCGTGTCAGGGTGGCAGGGCAGCCTCAGTGCTAGTGGGGGGCCTTCCCAGTGGGAGCCAGGCCACACCCACCTGTCAGTCAGTCACAGACCACACCTACCTGTCAGTCACAGACCACACCCACCTGTCACAGGGGATGGTGCTTCTTCCTCTGCCACTCTTGCTTCTGCAAGAACAGAAAACAAAGAGCCCGCTAGATGGCAGGAATGTAGTTTTCGGTGATGGGACACAAGTTCTTGATGTCTGTCACAGGACTTGACTTTAGGGTGACCCCCTGCAAGGCTGGGAGTAAGGTCAAAGTCCTACCTTTTGTAGGGGCTTCCGTGTCTGCATTTCCGACCGGCAGGCCCCAGCTTCTTAGGGCCTGCCTCCCAGGGAGGTAGTGCATCACCTTAGCTCTAGCTATTGTGTTGAAGCTGGTGAGAAGGGATAAATGAATTCATGGCAGTTACACTCTTCCGACCGTGCTGTGATGCAAATATGCATGTTAAATATCTCGTGAGACACTCAGAAATCGGAAACCGGTTTTGTAAGCGGTCTCTGGGTGTTTTAATGCACATTCCATCAGTGACAGACTGGGGACTTCCCAACACAGTAGTAGTGCAATTGACAAGTGAATACTGCTTCATTAAAACAAATGCAGTTATAGCTAGAAATCTGTGACGGGCGAAGTAGACCTCTCTACTTCAAAGACCTACAAAGATTAGGAACACTTGTCTCCGTTTTGGCTGGGTTAGATGTCCTCCGCCGTGGGCAGTGGCCCCCAGTGGAGGCACTGAGCCTGCAGGTGGGCTGTTGGCAGGAAGTCGCTCCAGAGCCACCAGTGCCCTGTGACGGGGGTGACCTCTGCTTTAACAAAGCGTGCGGCTTGAGTGGTTTTCAGAAGCTGCTGGCCGCTGCTTTGACTGGAGCGGGGTTGGGAGACTCCTGCTGGCATGTAGGTGACCTGAGGTAGAGTTCCTAAAAGCCAACTGGAATAGCCTTTTAAGAAAGGGGCTGTGTGGGAGGCGGGGAGGCTGACACCTGTGGAGGGGTGAGCAGTTGGTGTTCCTGCAGCAGCGAGCCCCAAGTTGGGCTCTCCCAGCCGGCCTCGCTTCCCCTCTGTCTAGCTGCACTTCCGGAGCCAGCCCACCTGCCTCGGAGCTGTGCCAGTGCACACGGGGCTCACGCTGGTCGCTGTTTTGCCGTGCCGCTGGCCAGGGCACCTGTCTCCTGTGGCTCTTTGAAGACTCTCTCTGTCTCTTTCTGCGTCCCTCCAGGAACAGGGTTGGGAAGGAAGCAGAGCCCGGGTTTATGTTTTAATGTGTACTGAAGGGTCAGCACATGACAGGATCGCTGCAATTCTCTCAATGGTGTTTTAGGGAGAACCAGTGGAGTGGAGGTGCGACAGGACAATGTGGGGCAGAGCGGAATGGCGCAGGATCCCAAGCGACCCCGGCCCAGAGAGGACGCAGCACAGGATGGTGTGGACAGAGGGGTGCTGCAGCCCGGTGGCAGTGTGGAGGACCAGAGAACCTCGGGGGACAGTGCCCCATTCCCAGGGTCGTTAGGAAATGCCAGAGATGAGGAACAGGTAGAAAACCACATTCCAGATAACACTTCTTTCCCCGAACGTCCAGAGCCAGCCGAGAGGAGGGAGGCCACGACCTTGTCAGCCTTGGGGTCTGGAGCGTCCCTGGAGGAGCCTGGAGCGTCCCCGGAGGAGCCCGGAGCGTCCCCAGAGGAGCCCGGAGCGTCCCTGGGGGAGCCCGGAGCGTCCCTGGAGGAGCCTGGAGCATCCCCGGAGGAGCCTGGAGCGTCCCCGGAGGAGCCCGGAGCATCCCCGGAGGAGCCTGGAGCGTCCCTGGAGGAGCCTGGAGCGTCCCTGGAGGAGCCCGGAGCGTCCCTGGAGGAGCCCGGAGCGTCCCCGGAGGAGCCTGGAGCGTCCCCGGAGGAGCCCGGAGCGTCCCTGGAGGAGCCTGGAGCGTCCCCGGAGGAGCCTGGAGCGTCCCCGGAGGAGCCCGGAGCGTCCTCAGAGGAGCCCAGCTGGGCAGGGGCTTCAGAGAATCAAGTCCCAGGTGCTGGGAATAGGCCAGACATCAAAAACCACAGTGCAGATTCTACAGGCATGCAGGAGGAAGAGAAACTAGAGGATCTGAAAAACAGCTCTGGTGGAGCTGACCCCAACCTGTGTCCAGAGCCCATTGCCATGGAGACGTCTGGAGGTGACAGGACAAGCAGGCTGGACCCCATGGAGCAGAGCAGAGACCACACTGGGGCCATGGAGGAGGCAGGGGCCTCTCATGCTGGGCACAGGGGCACAGAGGCCACAGGCTCCTCCAGGGATAGCGAAGATATGGCCAGTCATGATGGCAGCCCTGAGGCACCGGCCCCCAGCACAGGGCAGGGTCCAGGGAAAGAGCCTGCCACCCAGGAAGGCCCCGTGGAGGGCAGAGGCGTCAGCAGGGAGAACAGTGCCGAGGAGGACGGAGAGGCAGAAGTGGAGGCTGAGAGGGTCCAGGGTGTCGCTGCCTCTCCAGCAGCTGGGGACAGCCACCGGCAAGCGCAGCAAGCGACAGGTGCCGAGAGCAGCGCAGTGACCACGAAGGAGCCCGAGGACAAGAACGAGCAGCAGGGAGAAGCCATGGAGCCTTCGCAGAAGAAGGTCAAGAACAAGAAGAAGAAGAACAAGAAGAAGAAGGCAGCGACTGCTGCAGAATCCCAGGCAGACACTAGGAAGGAGCTAGCCTGCGAGGAAGCGGAGCCCGGTCAAGCTGGGGACGAGCAGGCCGGACCTGCTGACCCAGACCAAGCCGAGGAAGTGCAGAAGGAGCCGCTGGGAGACCCAGAGCAGGAGACCACAGCGGGAAGCAGCGAAAATCCCGAGTGTCCAGGAACTCCCGAAAGTACGCCGGATGGAAAGCTTCACCAAGAAGATGGTGACACAGAAGCCACAGCAGGGAGCATCACAGCTGAGGGAGACACGCGTGGTCTCTCCAGTGACACAGCGCAAGCCCCGGGCTCTAGAGCTAGTGACGAAGAACTCAACGGAAATGCCATGAAAGCCGACACTGAAAAGGATGGGGCTGGCAGCACCCTGCTGGAAGACGCGAGTCCCTTGGAGGAGCTCCGCGACACCTCCCACACAGCAGGTGCAGACACGCCAGCGATGTGTGATCAGCCGAGTCAGACGGCCGGGAAGGCTGCAGGTGGCCACGGCAGTGTGGAAGACGGCAACTTGTCCGCCCCAGAAGGAGAGGAGGGGAACAGCAGAGTGGGTGCGAAGGGGGTCAGTGAGAAGGGCCGCGCCAAGGAGGACTGCACTCTGTCGTGAGCTGAGAGGCTGGCAGAGGCAGGCATGCCCTGGAGGCTGGGCCTGGTCCCTCCGATGGCAGAACCCCTTGCCTGACCATCAGCACCTGACTCCCCATTGTTGCGGGGAGCTCCTGTCACCCAGGTCAGAAAGGCAGCAGTACGGCACTCGGCATCGCGCTCGGACAGAGAACATTCCAGCAGCAGTGTGTTCCGCGCATCCTCCAGCTTAGATGGGAAGATCGCCTTATGCTGAGAGTGTGGAAGTTCTTGACCAAATATATTAAAATGGCCAAACGACATTCCTGGGTATCACGGGTATTTAAAAAGGTCTCAGTGGAACGTGTGTGCGTTCATCTTAACTTCAGTGTGTGTGTTGTTTTCTGTAAAGGTGAGAAGGCCGCGTGTCCTTAGGCCGTGCGCCTCAGAGCAGCAGTGAACCGTTCTGGGGCGGCGCGTGCCCAGACGCACCTGGGGGGCGGCGCTGGCCTCTCCCCCTCCCACGGTCACGGCTCACCCTGCGCTTGCGTACCTGCCCGCATTTGATGGTACGATGCTTTTGCCTTCACTTTATGATGCTGGACCAAATCTATTTTATACACAGAATCTTTTAAGTTTTGTGTGGAAACGACATGTCTCGAACTTGCATTTGTGACTGTGGTGTGGAGATGGGCTAAGTTGCTTAAAGCTGTGCTGTACCTTTGAAGCCACGTCTGCTGTCCGAGAGGCCGGGCACAGCGTATCGGCCCCACGCAGTCTGCCCATGAGTCCATTGTAGGACATTGGAAAAAGTTGAATCACTTCTGGTATTTTGGCATAGATATTTTTATTTGTTGCTTCTCAGTGTATTCTTATTGCAAAACTATTGTTTTGAACTGCCTACAGGAAATACATATATTTTCTATATAAAGAAACATTTAAAAATAATTGTAAAGGTAAATTTTAAAAAAATCATTGTAAAATATAAAGCCACCGTGGAACGTGCCTTGTGAGTGGTGTGGGCACCGTGGAACGTGCTTTGTGAGTGGTGTGGGCACCGTGGGGGTGATGCCAGCTCAGGTCACTGTTGCGTCACGGGGTGCAGAATGCTGGTACCTCAGGAAGATGGAAGGCGAGCCCTGTGTTCCGATGCAAATGAAATAAACGTGTTTTGTGATTTGACAAGCCTGTGGCTCCAGTCTTTGGACTGCTCGGGCGAAATCTAGCTTTGGTTGTGGTCCACCAGAAAGTAGTGCTGCCTCCCAGCTCGCTCGGTCCTCCAGCTTTTCTGTGGGCGGGGCTGCCCCAGGGAGCCGCCAGGCCATCCCTGGTCCTCTCGCGAGAGCCGGGGAGCCCAGTTGAGGGGTCTTTGTCCTGGAGCTGTGCTAAGCTGTACTGAGCATTAGAGTGGTTTGAAGGGTACAAGGGGACAGGCGGGTAGAGGCTGGGCATTTCTGTGAAGGTGTCCTGCAGTGACAGGGAGGATGGGGTGAGAGCCCTCCCCTCTTTGCCACGTAAATAGAAAACTACACGCTTTGCTGGAGACTGCAGCCCAGGTCTCTGCGGCACCTTGAAGGGCCTTAGTCCACGTGTCCTTAGCAGAGCCTGCCTCTGCCGGGATGTGCCCTAGACAGCCATTCTCGCTCCTGTGCTGCGTGCCCTCTGGGGATGCCACTCACCAGGCACTTGGTGAGGCCCGCAGCTGCTCCAGGCGCTCATGTCAGCCACCCAACAGTCCCACCACACCGCTCAGCATCGGCTGTGGTCAGAGTAGGACTGCAGACAGCTGTGTTGAGAAAGAACAGTGGGCTGAGCGTGGCTGGGTGAGTATAGACCCTCCCTGGTGAGCCTCAGCAGTTCATGTCTCCCTGTTAGGGGCAGTGACACAGACGCCCACACGATGACCAGCAAGCACAGCAAAGGCCTGTAAATTACCAGGAGGCCATCGTTGCAGGGGCGAGGGGCTGGGGTTAAGGTCACATGCGGATACATGCGGGCGTTCAGAAAGTCTGCATCAAAGGCTCGCCCCCCACCCCCACCCCGGGAACCGAGACCATTCCGATGTCGCTGTAACAGACTGAGATGCTGGCCGCTGTTGCCTGGAGTCAGGTCCAGGCCCCAGCGTGGCTGCTGCACCAGCAGGGCCAGTGTGTGTGCGCGTGCACAGGACAGAGCACAGTAACGGGCTCAGATTCCCGAGGTTGGAAAGCAGGCGGGTGTTTGAGAGTGAGGTTTGCCCTGGTACTTGCAAAACTGCACGGAAAATGGAATTAAATGATACATTTTTACATTTTCACAAAACAGTGTTTTGAAGGCCACTCCTAAATGTGATTTCAAAACTTCGGCAGCAGCGGTGCCTTGCTGCCAGTTGGGTTCCCAGGAGCTGCCTGGAGGACCGTGGGTGCCTGTAGAACACCTCGCCCTGCTCTTCCTCCTCCTCCCACCCACCACCCTGCACTTGGGATTACGATGTGAGCATGTGAGCGGCTGGTGGCAGCGAGATCCCTTTGGGCCCTGGCTGCGCTTGGCAGGAGAGAGCATGGCCGCGGGCAGGAGGAAAGCTGACGGCAGGGTGACAGGCTGTCCCTGGGCACAGCTGGGAGCCCCCCCAAGCCCCCCGTTGGTTTCTTCAGCTTGCCCAGCTACAGGGGGTGGGGAATGGGGAAGCCTCCCCAGGTGGCTCCGTGATAGCCCTGGGTGGTGGAGAGGACCAACTCCACCTACGAAGTCGTGATTAACCCCGCCATGCCTCACCCGGCCATCCGAGGACGGGGCGGACTGCAGCTCAGGGACAAGTGTTTGAAGAAGCCGGGCTTGGTGAGTGTGCAGCCGCTTCCCTGGACAGTGGTGGGAGTCCAGGACGAGGGGCTACCTTGCCTGGGATTGGCCATCCCAGGGTGTTTCTGAAAGGCCATGTTTGTCTGTTTCCCATGTCAGGATCTCTGACATGTTGGCATTTTAAATGGACGGGTTATGCCTGTTCACACATTGAGCTCGAGACCGACGCAGCTGATGGAGTGAGCATGGCGTAGCCTGGGCCTCCAGCCCTCCCGCCAGATGTGCCATGGTGTCACTGCTGCCCCGCATTCAGTCAGACGTGTTGACTCTTGGGGCTGTAAAACACAACCTCTTTGTGTCTTCGCATCAAACAGCATTGCCTTTTTCCGTCTCCCACTTGCTCAAAGCTGTGTAGCTGTTCCTTTTCTTCCGTCCTTTCCAAGTCCTGCCTCTCTGCTTGTCCTGCTCTTCCTGCCCTGAAACCGAAGGTCAGGTGACCTTGGCTGTCACTTCACTGGGCATCTTCTGCTGGTTATCTCGGACGTTGGATGTTTCCGAGGAAAAGAATAAAGGAGTCACACACTAGCCTCGCGATTACTGTCTCCTACGATGCCTTTAGTTTTTGCGTGTTGAAGTGTAAAACATATGAATCGGAAAGTGGGACTGGATAAGAGCCCTCTGCCCCAGCTTTGAGGGGAAGGAACGGCGCGCCTGTCAGAAGCTGTTGAGCTCCATGCAAGTTGAGATGGAATTTAAAGGAATCACATAAGCTTATATTATGTACGACTTTTTTATTAGCCTCACAAAATGACAAGCTTAGGGTCTTTGCAAAAATGACCGCGGAAGGATTGTTGACTTGGATTATAGCATACCTAGATTTTTAAAGTGCAAACAAGAAACATTTGTTAGGAATGATTTTCTTTCCTTGTGGCTAGTCAGAGCGGATCTTTAGGCCACCAGGAGTGTGGAGCCAGCCCGCAGAAGTGCGGGGCTCCTGGGGGAGCGAGGGCCCTGGCTGGCTTCCACTCTGAGGTACAGGCACGGACCTGGAAAGTCAGCAGCATGTAGGGGTGATCAACCAGCAGCCCTGAGCCCCACAAGCCCCTAGGGAAATTGGTTAACCATCCTGGGCCCCGGACCACATCTTGATAGAAGCACTTTATGGGAGCCCGTGCCATGGGAGCTGCCAGGACACTGGCTGACCCGGCATCCTCACCATCACGTGTCCTTTGCCTTCAGACTGGTGTGGGATTCCCGCAGACACCTGAGCCTTCCCTAGACCTCGGTCTGCTCTGCCCCGGGCGCTGACGTTTGGGGGTGGGTGGAGAGTTTAATGCCTGGGCCTATGGCCGTCAGAGAAATCAACTTTTCCTGCACTTTTTTCCTCAAAAGAACAACAGCTTTTGGTAGCTGAGGTAGCAGACGTGTTGTGTGCAGACTGACTTAAGCGCTGTGGATGTCCAGTCTGAGCCTTGCCGCCTGTGAGTGTGTGAGAGACGTGCCGGCCAGAGGGGCAGCTCGCAGGTGGCCGGCGCTCTTGTGACAGGTCTGTCGGTGGCCGGCGACGCTGAGCCGTGAGGCTGTGAGCTCTTGTGTTGCAGTGTGCTGTGGCCCTAGCGTTCTTGCATGCTGCCTAAGGTAGAAGACTAGGCTGTTTGCACGCAGCCGGACGCTGCTCCTGCTCGGAAGCATGCCTGGGGGGCCGAGCCGCCCCCAGTGCTGTCTGTGGCCTCATCCACGGTACGTGCCTCACCCCTCATCCTCCATCTCACTAACCCCACACCCGTCCCTCAGCTCGGCCACGTGGGAGGGGTAAACTGCACAGCCTCACATACCGTGTCTCTCTGATTCTCTCCAGACACTAGGTTGAAAAAGCTCATGGATGAACGGGAAGGCTTATTGGAACAGGTAACGAGCTTTTTGTTACTTTGCAGGTTCTGGGCCAGGACGCCAGGCCTCTAGACCAGGTGCCTGGAAGTAGCTGTCAGATCAGCAGAATGCCCGAGGTCTTGGCAGGTGCAGTGAGGGAAGCCAGAGGGGTGTGTGGAGCATCAGTGCTGGTCCTGCCTCCAGCAGCGTGTAGAGGCGTCCACGGGTCGGCCGAGCAGGGCGTGCAGGAGCCACTGGTCACCTCTCGTCTTCCGTGCAGTGCCCTGAGTTGACACAGTGTTGTCTCGGCTGTCAGCAGCCCTGTCTGGCAGGTGTCCCCTGGCCCCCTGACCCCCGGGTTGCTGTCCCCATAGCCTTTCTTCTCCTCTCCTACCTCAAGAGACAGCAGACAACTGTCCTACTGGGTGTGTGGTGTCAGTCCTTCCATGGCCACTCCCTGAGGGTGACACTGTTGCTGGTCTGCCCTCAGAAGCCCAATCAGAATTTGCCCGAGTTGAACCCTTTGGTTGAAAGTCCTTTCAGAAATGGAAAAGGCACTAAACACCCTGAGATAGTGCCCTCCAGGTCCCCATGGTCTTCGAGCAACCGCTGTACTGCCCACGCAGCACCTGCAGGAGGCTCCTGACCCAGGGCTCCCTAGGCAGGAGACCACCTCCAGCACTCCCTGTCCATGAAGCCGCCCCCCGGAGCCGATGCCTTGGGCCTGGCAGCCTCCTGGTGTGGGCTTCCAGGTGGCAGCCTGGGGCTGGCTTGCTAACTCCGAGAATCCAAGCCGCCTTTGAATCACCTCTGTGAGTCCCAAAGTCCTTCCGCAGCACAAATATCTGCCCTACCATGGAGTTGCAGGATAATGCACCTCCGGGGTGGTGGAAATGTCCCAGGTTCTTTCCTGGGACCCTGGGGGCCCGAGGGCTTTAGTACTCGCAGTGTTTCTTAGGAGGAAGAGGCACTGCCCGTGTGGAAGGTGGTGGGGAGGGACCTTGTACCACGATTTTACCACAATTTTGGTGCTAACAAACTGTGCCCCCCACCGGGTACCCAGGCCCTGGCCCCAGTAGCTGATGAGCCTGGGGTAAGAAAGGGTCTGGTTTCAGCTCCTTGCTGCAATCTGTGAGCGGATGTGCACACAGCCTTTCCAGCGGGCGGACTGGACATTCACCTGTTTTGCCTGCGGGCGTTTTCAGATCAAGAAACTCCAGGGGCAGCTGGAGGGGAAGCAGAAGAACGGCAAGCTGCTGGACACTCTGCGGCCGGAAGGCGACATCCTGGAGAATGGGATGGACCTGCATGTGGCAGATCTGCAAAGTAAAGGCCAGCCCCCAGTGGACGCAAGCTCCTTCCCCTGAGCCAGGAGACAGGGACCACAGGGCAGAACCTGTCCAACTCCTATGCCAGTCCCTGGAGCCCATGGCCAGTCCCCAGGGGACGTGAGCGCACTCCTTCTCCTGTGCCAGGAGACAGGGACCACAGGGCAGAACCTGTCCAGCCCCCATGCCACAAAGATGTCCCTGAAGGGCCATGACAGGAATGTGCAGGGACAGCATGAGGATATATGCACAAAGCTGTGAAGTAGACCCAGGCGTCCCTAAGTCACTTCCGGACACCGCCCTGGGAGTAACCACATCACCTTCGCCAGCTGCTGCACCATCAGGCTTTGCATCTGATGGCATTAAAAGACTTAAGATGATTATTAATACCACTAATATGGAAAAGGGCCTAAAGGAAATTAGTTGATTTTTCTAAAGATGTGTTTATTTGCTTATGCATTTCTTTGGAAGGCACAGCCACAGAGAGAAAGCAACCATACCTCTGCTAGTTCACGCCCCAGATGGGCGCAAAGCTGGGGCGGTGGCTGGACCAGGTGACACTGAGAGCCTGGAACTCCATCTGGGTCTCTCGTGTGGGTACAGATGCCCCACACCTGGGGCACCTTTTGCACTTTTCCCAGACTCACCTGTGGGTAGCCGGATTGGTGTGGGCAACGGGTTTGACCTCACTGCAGCACAGCTCCAGCCTAAGGGAGATGAGTGTACACTGCGGCCCTTGCCCCTCCTGTTCCTTGGTTTGCACTCAGACACCATGTGGCCGGCTGCCGTGCCCATGCAGGGGTGTGGACACCCTGTCCCGACTGGCTGCCCAGCAAGGCGGTGCCTTCTCAGGTCCGGCACGTCGTGGTGCCCCAGGCAGGAGCAGACAGGTTGGCCAGAGATTCCCAAGTGAGGGTTCATTTCCCAGGAATCATTATTGTATGAACATTGGAAAATCCCCAGAGCTTGACGTTCTCTTTCTTTCCCAACCTTTAGGGGACGCCAACAGACAGATCAGCGACCTCAAATTTAAACTTGCAAAATCCGAGCAAGAGATAACTACATTAGAACAAAACGTACGTGCCAAGCTCTCAGCCGGCCGTGCGGCCCTGCTGCTGCGCGGAGAGCGGCCCCGCTGCTGCTGGTGCGCCGAGAGCGGCCCCGCTGCTGCGCCGAGAGCGGCCCTGCTACTGCGCCGAGAGCGGCCCCGCTGCTGCGCCGAGAGCGGCCCCGCTGCTGCGCCGAGAGCGGCCCTGCTCAGACCCATGGTGTCCCAGCAGGGGAAGTGCAGGGAGCCCGAGGGAGGAGAGGCAAGGGACAGGACTGAGCCATTCCCCTTGGCTCCTGCTGGCCCTGGTAGAGAACAACCGGTGTGGCCTGGGAGTTTTGAAGATGTGTTGTTTCTTTAAAAAGAATTCAGTTGGTTGGAAGGCCCTGCGTGCCAGGCCATGCCTCTCCCACAGGAATTTCAGCCTTGTCCCCAGACAGGCTCCAGGCCCACGGCCCGTCTAACGCCAGCCTGCTTCTCTCATGGGGACTCCATGCCCAGCACCCACTTCAGCTGTGCAGGCAGTGTAGGCAACAGGAATGTTTATGAATTTTCCTGGAGCTAGTAGGAGCGTGGTACCCTCAGGTGCTGTTCCGTGGCCTGAGGCTCTGATGCCCAGGACCGCATGCCTGGCTGGGCCCCTGCTCCTGGCTGCCGCTTCGGGACCCACTCTGCCAGAGTGTGGACAAAGGGAAACCACCCTGGCAGAGCAGGCTCAGGGGGCCGCGGGTCCCTGACCCCATCAGAGTGAGGTCGCTAAGAGGGACAAACAGCCCGTGGAGCCAAGCCTGCAGAACTGTCCCTGCTGCCGCAGGCTCGCGCCCCGCACCGTCCTACACCTGGCTTTCCCCTCCCTTCCAGGTAATAAGGCTAGAGAGTCAAGTATCACGTTATAAATCGGCTGCTGAAAATGCAGAAAAAATAGAAGATGAACTTAAGGCTGAAAAGCGGAAACTCCAAAGAGAGGTAAATTCCGGAACTGTTTCTAGGGAGAGAGGGCATGACCTATGTCCCCGGAGTCAGCGTGCCCAGCCAGATCATGCAAACCCACCTGGAAAGCCAGCCAGGGCTGCAGGGTCAGCACCATTGCTGGGAGCCATCAGGTCAGGCATCAGTCTAGACCCATCCATGCGTATCCTAATTCCTGAGGCCTCTTAGCTCCCTGTGGTTTGGGTTGTGCAGGGTGAGCCCGGGGCGGGGAACGGCCGGGAAGAAGTAGACTCCAGCCGGGTGGAGACAGCCGGGGTGAGTACCCTGGGGAAGGGAGCTGCTCGTGGACACCTGCTGCTCCGCCCCCACACTCCAGGCTTCCTGCCGGGCCTGCCCTCACTGCCCGCTCAGCCTCACTGGCTGCTGGGGAGCTTTGTGTTGGTGTCTGTAAGGATGTGTGGGTCGGGAATCCTGCAGGCCTGACACTTCCTGCCCAGACGGCTTGAAGCCTTAGCCTCTTTGTGGTGCACTTCCTCAGGACCACAGGGCCACAACATCCCACCACCCAAGGCACCTGCATCTCTCTGCTGCCTGCCAGCATGGCTTCCTGCCAACATGGTTTCCTGCCCTGTCCCACAGCCTGAGGCCTGACCCCCAGGTGTGGCCTCCCTGGCCTTCAGAGCTTCTGGCTGCCCAGAGGTCGGTGGGGCTGAGTGCCTTTTTGCAGGCCTGGATTCCTAGCAGGGACCGTATCTCGGGTGAGGTTCGGAGGAGAGACAGTCCCCCAAGTTCACAACCTTTCCTCTTTGTTTTCAGCTGCGATCTGCCTTGGATAAAACAGAGGAGCTTGAGGTCAGCAATGGCCACTTAGTGAAGCGTCTAGAAAAAATGAAAGCCAACCGAAGTGCACTCTTGTCCCAGCAGTAAGCATGGGCTCTGTGCAGGCAGCCGGCCAGTTGCCCGCCGGCTCTCTGTCCTCCCCAGCCTTCCAGGAGCAGAGCACCAGGCGGGGAGCACTCGCCACTCTTGGCTGCTCCCCGGCCCACCTGTGGGAGCCCCCTCTGCCGCCATGCGCCTGCCTGCAGACCCTGCCCGGCCAGGCTCGCTCAGCACACGGCCCGGCAGCCGCCCAGCCTCGCAGGCACCACGACCTCTCCTAGGCAGTGGGAGGAGGAGGCCAGGGAAGATGAAGGGAACTGGAGTCTTGCGCCCAGGGGTCGCGCTCACGATGAAGGTGAAATGGGACTTCCTTAGTAGTGTCTCTTAGTCTACACTCTTTACACGAGAGCCGGGGAACCACAAGCCATTACCACACCGAACTCTTTCGCCAGAAACAACGAGATGGTCTAGACATAAAAGTGACCTTAAAATGACTCTCGTCGGGCAACAAATGACGTTTTTCTAGGGAATTTTTGCATCACTTCTGTCACAAAGATACTTTTTTTCCAGGGTATTTAGGCGTTTGCGTCACTGAGAGCAACTGCTTTTCTTTTGCATTATTTAATCCTTCTATTTGGAATTGAAGTTGTTGGCCTCTTTTGAAGAACGTACTGTTAGACAAATTTAAAAAAAAAATAAAATGTTGGAGATTTTGAGCAGCGTGGCTTGTTTCTTCTGCTGAGAAAAAAGAGCTTGACTCCCTGCGAATTCCTGCGTGCGCCCGACCCAGTTGCGTTCAGGCACAGCAGTTCGGTTTGTTTCTTCTTACCCTTTTTATTTTTCTTAAAGATTTATCCATTTATGTGAATAAGTTACACTGAAGAAGAAACACAGAGAGGAGATGAGAGGAACTATTCCGCCTGCTGGTTTCCTCCCCAAATGGCCATACTGGCCAGGGCTGGGCCACTCCAAAGCTGAGATTTTGGGGGTCTTGGGCCATCCTTCACAGCTTTCCCAGGTGCGTGAGCAGGGAGCCGGCTCAGAAACGGGGCAGCCTGGGATGAATCCATCACCCGCTTAGGGCATCAGCATCGCAGGCAGGCACGCGGCTTTACCCGTGCCAGGGTGCTTGGCCCCTCTCTTCCGGTTTGCTTTCCTTGCTTGTTTTAAGGGTCAGTTCACAGAATTGGCGCACTCGGGATAAAATGTAAACGGAGGCGAGAGACCATGAGCACACTTCGGGCAGAGGTCAGTGTAGCTGCCTGCTGAGTTCTGTGTCCTGCTGGGGCAGTGTCACTGAGCCCCACACCACGAGGACGCAGGAGGGAGGACAGGAGTTCTGGCTCAGAGATGAGCCCCAGAGGGCTTGTGGACAGGGGCCAGGGTTCCTGTCACGAGGCCTTAAGGTTCCACTGAGGGAATGTCATGTCTGGATAGGTCCTGGATTGTGGTAACCTGGGCTCACACAGCCTGCTGCAGTCCAAGCCAAGTCACCCTGTGGCCAGCTCGAGTCCTCTTACAAATGCCAGTCCTCGCGCATGGCTCCGTGGCATAAGAACATCACAGCCTGGGCAGGAAACCTACAGGGCTAGCAAGAGTTGAAGCGTGACATAGGCACTTCTCAGACCAAGGGGCTCCTTGCCACTGCCATGTGGGCAGCAACAGCCAAGGGGAGTGGGGAGCAGGCATGCTTGGCGCCCCTGAGCTCTGCCCCTGAGGACAGCCCTAAGTCCGACTCCCACTAGTGCCTGCTTTTCCCTGCTTCCAGCTCTGTGCCTGGCCCTGTCTCTCCCTAGCAGCCAGCATGCTGACCGCAGGGAAGGCCACCTCAGCTCTAGCTTCCAGCCTGCTTGGATTTCCATACCCGGATTTACTTTTCTTAATTTTAATTTCCTTTCATTTGCTCTGAAATGCAAAAAAAGACAAAACCTTTCATTCTACTGATCACTCCTCTGAATGCCTACAGTAGCCAGGCCTAAGCAGCCCACGCTCAGGGACACGGAGCCTGGGGCCTGCGTGATGGCTCCACTGGCCAATGATCGGCCCACAAGTGCTGACAGTCCATATGGGCGCCAGCTCATGTCCTGGCTGCTCCGCTTCTTATCCAGCTCCCTGCTTGTGGCCTGGGAAAGCAGTCAAGGACGACCCAAAGCCTTGGGACCCTATATCCACCTGGAAGACCTGGAACAATCTCCTGGCTGCAGATTGGCTCAGTTCCAGCAGTTGTGGCTATTTGTGGAGTGAACCAGCAGACGGAAAATCTTCCCCACGCCATTCCTTCTCTCTGTGATTCTGCCTTTCCAATAAAAATACATCATTTTTTTTTTTTCAACCATGAGAGCCTGGAGCTTTTTTGCGGTCTCCCACGTGGCAAGCAGAGGTGCAGGTGCCTGGGCCATCACCTGATGCCTTGCAGGGTGCGCAGCAGCTGGAAGCAGGGAAGCAGGGAAGCAGACTCCAACCTGGCACTCTGAGATGCAATGCAGGTGTGCCAGGCAAAATGCAGCCCAACAGCTGCGCAAGACCTGCTGCTTGCCTTGGTTCTCCTTGGCCTGCCTCCACTGGGCTACAAGGTGGTGGCTTACGCACTCATTCTCTACCCACCGTGGCTGACTGTCATCTTAAAACATCTTAATGTGAAGAGATCTAAATATACAAGCTTTGAAAAATGAGACATGGGGCACAGAAGATAAGACACTTGTTGGGGTACCAGTGTCTCATCCCAGAGTGTCCGCCCCAGATCGCGACTGTAAAAGGCGTTAGAGCCCCGGATGGAGATGTGGGTGCCCGAGGACGGGTCCAGTGGAGTATGGCAGGCCCAGAAAGACAAAGACCCACGTTCTCCTGCAGACAAAACCAGAATCACTGGAGGGTGGGATGTGTTGGGGAAGAGGGGAAGGTTAGACAGGGAGTACCAGAACATGCCTCACAGGGAGCCTGGTGCCTGCGGTACCCGACGGTTTAGGACATGTCACAAACAATGGGAAGAAAGGAAGACATAGGTCCCTTGCTAACGCATCTTGGAAGGCGACGTGATGGCTCAGTGCTTGGATCCCTGCCAGCCACCTGCGAGACCTGGAGTGAGCTCCCCAATCCTGCCTCTGGCTTGTTCCAGCCCCTGCTGTTGTGGGTCTGCAGTGAATCAGATGGGACCTCTGCGTGCTTCACAAATAAATTCACTTTAAAATTTTTAACTGTTGCCACTTGTTAGTTATTTAAAACAGTTAAAGTTCTAGTTGTTACGATATTATTACTCGCAGCTAATTCCCGCAGCCTGGTTCTTTACTGTGAGCCGAAAACACCAGACACAGCGAGGTATCTTAGGAGGTTTATTCCAGCAGGGTGGGAACGGCACTGGGTGGTGGCAGAGCAGCAAGGGCAAGGGGGAGGAAGGAGAAGAGAGAGCGCCAGAGCCGCACCTGGGGCTGTTATGTCACTCAGGTGAGCCGCAAGGTGTGGGGGCAGGGACTGGGAGGGATGGAGGGCAGGCCCCAGGGGATTGGTGCCTGAGACTGTCACAGGTGATTGCCTAAGGATGATTGGTAAGTGGGCAGAGTGGCGGGAAGGGCCGGGAGATTGGGGTGGGATTCTCAGGTGAAATGCCAGGTTACATCTGATTGGTGATCGGCTGGACTGGGCGAATTTCATGAGCTGTGAGGAAGAGGGTCCAGGGTGGGCTATTGGAATAACTCCTTACACCACTGACGATAGCTCTGTATAACCTAGATTCAGTTCTGTTCAGGGACCGTGAAAGAACCAGACAATGGCCACTCCCACGACCCCCCCTCCCCGCAGGACCGTGCAGACCTTGTATGGGGTAACGTGAAAGCACGTGATTTCTCTCTTTGCATTGACTACGGAAAAAAAAAAAGACCAGATCCCACGTGCCACCATTTGCAAAGTTGAAACGGGCAAAGAAACACACACTATCACAGTAGTGAGGGCACCTTGAAAACAGAATGTACCCAGTTCAGCTGCAACACTTGTGCCAAGCTACATCTCAGAAGGAGCTGGCTCAACAGCAACAACTTGAAGCAGCTGGGGCGCAGGTGTGTCATTGCTGGAAAACGCTTTTAGTACCCAGGGATCCCTGCCATGTTAGAAGCCGGTGACTCTGCTGTTACTTTTTAAGGTACGTAATACTTCTGTTTATACCCTAAACACCTGTGTGTGTGTGTACACGCATGCATGTGTATGTATTAAGAACAATGTCAAATTTTCTGGAAGACAGCCTATCTGGGCTTTTTTAGAATCCACTTGTTCAAGCCCTGGGGATGCAGCAGTTCTATTATAATTATAATATAATAATAATAATATAATATAAAATGTATATTATATAATATATAATAATATATAATAATTATATATTATATCTATTATCTTATATTATATTATATTATATTATAAACAATGGATACAATTTTGGATGATGAAAAATGCTCTGAAAAAAAGGTGAAAGCAGGGGGCTGGGCTGTGGTCCAGCAGTCTGTGCCCTGTGCGTGCCAGTTCCTGTGCCATGGTGCCACTTCCACCCCAGCTCTCTTCTAATGTGTCTGGGAAAGCAGAGGACGGCCCAAGTGACTGGACCCATAGACTTCTTTTTTTAAAAAGATTTATTTTTATTATTTTTTTATTGAAAAGGCGGATATACAGAGAGGAGAGACAGAGAGGAAGATCTTCCGTCCAATAATTCACTCCCCAAGTGAGCGCAACAGACGATGCTATGCTGATCCGAAGCCAGGAGCCTCTTCCAGGTCTCCCACGCGCGTGCAGGGTCCCAAAGCTTTGGGCCGTCCTCGACTGCTTTCCCAACCGGCGCCCATATGGGATCCCGGGCGTGCAAGGCGAGGACCTTAACCACTGCGCCACCGCGCCGGGCCCATGGACCCATAGACTTCTGCAAGAGACCATGAGGAAGCTTCCAGCTCCTGGTTTTGGTCTGGCTCAGCACCAGCCTTCGTGACTGAGGAGTGAATCAGCAGATCTGTGCTTCTCCTTCTTTCTCTGTAATTGTCTTTCCAATTAAAAAATAAATAAGTAAAAGAGCTTGCATGCCGTGAGCAATAATGAACAGAGGGACAAGGAATGAAGATCCTAAAGTTAGGGAGAGCTGGCAGGATAGAGGTGCCCAGAGGCCACAGTGTCCCGGGGATGGGGATCATGTCAGGTGTGGGGTGCAGAACGGAGGCATGGGGTGCTGCGCCCACGGCCTCCAGGGCTCATTGGCAGACCACCTCCACGGGAAGGGCAGCGCAGTTCTCAGGTGGCACCCTCATGCTGTCGGTCTGAGGGCCAGCCAAGCAGCCTGTGAAAACCCCAGACTGTTGCCCCGCCTCACCTTCTCCCAGTGCCACGCGATGGGCAGGTCCCCGCATAAGGAACCTGAGAACGGGCCCAGCATTCCTGAAGCTGGCTGGCTGAGGGCAACTCATCCAGCCTTTCTGAGCAGGCCTGACCGAGTCTCAAGGCCTGACAAGGCAGTCCACTGCTGACCCGCGTCAAACCAGAGTCACAGTGTCGCCTGTTGCACGATGACTAATGTGACCTTGTTTCACACCAAACAATTTCCCTGCAGACAGGGACAGTGAGCAAAGCGAGATTTATTGAAGCGAGAAATCCCCGCGTCAGTAGCCGGGCAGGGGACGCCACGGGAGCGGCTGGCCACGGAGCTGCTCACTCTCAGATCAGTCCCCTGGCCAGTTTCTGAAAACCGGCT